TTCGAGAAAAGATGGCTCAGATGTGGGGTCTCACGCGCGACGAGGTGGGCGAAAATGAGGCTGTGGAAAATTGGTGGCTACCCAACGACGAAGGGAACATTCCCATGTTAAAGGAGATCCGCAAAGTGGTGACGGAAAGGCACGCAAGTGACACGATCACCAGCATGGAGTCTGTTGCCAGCGTCCGAGATTTGAAGGCCATCTTTGAGAAGCTAGATCTTCGGACTCAGTCGGTTGCAAAATCAATGGGCAGTGACGGTCAATTCAGTCCACAAAGTGACACCAGCGGACCCATCAGTGACCGCGGAAGCAACCCCAGCTTCAGTCCCACCAACATGAACTTTGCGGATGCGGTAAAAGGGAGCATATCAGGAGCCGTGCAAGAAGGAGGGGGTCTCTGAAACGAAGAGCCACGCGAGCTCAGATCGGCGTCACGCGAAGACCATGAAAGCAATATGCGAGGCTTGCTAGGAGTCCTGCACGAAACGAACAGCAAATACTCCGATGCGCTAACAAGACGAGACGAGACGACGGACCCAAAAAAGCGAATGATCCAAAACTCGGGCTACCTGTCAGGCGCTGGGTTCAAACGAGTCGGCTGCTTCGACATGGTCTTTTCGGACTTTCAAATTCTGGACATACAACCAAGGTGTCCGTGTACAAAGCTATCGAGTCGACGTGCAGGCCAGGGAGATGACCCTTCAGTACGATCCTCCGACTTCATGATTGAGCGTATGACAAGACCAAACTGTCGACTCTGTCCCTCTCCACTCTATCCACCAGTTGCCTTTTCTGGTGGCACAGCTGCATTCTATTCTGTCGTGTCAAAGGGCTCGAACACATCTGCAACTGGTCAAGATCATGTTTAATACCAAGGTGCAGGGCGACATTTTCACAACTCTTTTCACTCGTGGAGGTGTTGCATATAGAAAAAGAACGAGGGAGAGAGAGATGGAGAAAGAAAAAGCCATACGAGGTTTACTATACCAGCCACCAAAGAACTGGCGTCGTGCTCTAGGCTATTATTCATCACGCCTATCGAGCCCAGATACAATGTTTTTTTTTTTTCTTAGGCATCAAAAAAGAAAGAAAAGTAATAGATTAAAGGGAATTGGCCAGCCAGCCACATCACACACAACTCACACTTACTCTTCAAGAGTCTGTCTCTACTCCTTCCCGCACGTGGACATGAACATGCACGCACGATACCATGAAAATTGCAAGTATTGTGCTTCGGAGTCCACGACGTGTATCGTCTCTCTTTTTCCCGAAACGCCCAAAACAATAACAAGGCCGAGACGTCCTCGGGATGTCGAGTACTTACTACTCGTATTTTACTTCGAACGAGGTTCCAAATGTGCTGTAGGTACTGACAGGGTCGGAAGAACAAGCATAAACCCGGTCAACACATTAAAAATAAACAACCTGGAAAGAAAACAAACCATCAAGCAAACAAACAAACCATGAATCAATCAATCAATCAATCAATCTGTCAGATACATTTACCCTTGCTGACTCGTACTCCGAAGTTGTGATCAAGTGGTTGGCCCGCCCAATAACCACCCTTGCGACCACTCCAAGATGTTCAAACTCCACTGCTGATAACCCCGGAGACATGGGCTCTTTTAGGATGACCGTTGAACGACGGCGAGTGCCGAGTGAGAACGGGACGGGAAGCGTATTCGCCTTTTTTCTCTGAGGGGAGGGGGGGTTGCTTTTTCTTTTCGAGCCTGGCCACTTGCGTTTTGACCCAAAAATCTTGTGGTGGACTGAGTTGGGGGGGTTGACCAAGGCCCTTGGTCCCCCCCCAAGAAGGCCTTTCTATCGTAATACCCGGCCCATCATCGATGCAGTTGAATTGCTGTGGAGAGGGAGAAACACAAAACTCCCAAAAAGCGCCCTATTTTTTTTCTTCTTTGTGAAGGAGGGGGAAAGTTTGACCCAAATGGCTTACTTTCGTGGATGTTGGGCACGTACCTCTTACATACCCGCTACCGGCATTTGCACTTGTACAGAAACTTTCCGTGGTACTCGCTGGGCGAGTGTCCTAGTCCTAGAGAACTGACTTACATTTTCTTGTTTTATCTTCAGACGCTCTTGTTGTCAGTCGTTTTCCGAAACGGGCCTCCCTCAATCGTTGTCCTCGGAGTCGCAAGTCTTCTGAAACGGTCCACATGGGCGGATGAAAGTGTTTGTGGCTCGGGCTGGTTTTAAAGGTCCACATTAAGTTGCTGGCTTCGACTTTCCAGCTAAGCTCGACGGGAATAGGCTGGCTCCATCCACAAGCAAGGTACCGGGTGCGTGGTCTTCTCAGTTCTGTATCACCTGTAGCGGCGGCCATAGTGGATATCACACCAAGTCCAGTCTCCGTCTGAAAGTTTACTTCCCATTCGTGTCGGAGGGTGTACACTCAGCCCCGAAGCTCGACCAAAATGAGAAATGAATACGAGGTTTATGCAGAGGCTCGGAAAACCCGGACTCATTAGGCCTTTGCAACCGCCGCAACAAAGCCGAACTGTCCTTGGAGCTGCAGGGTAGTTACACGGGATGCTTCATCCAGTCTAGCCTCGTGAAGTCTGAAAGCAAGAAGCCCTGACATACCTCATCCCCCTCCTGAGGTGTGGGATACGGGGGCATTGGAAAGATAAAGAGTGCAGGCGTCGTGCCTTTGGATAGCATAGTGTTTGTGTGAGTAGATATGCATGGCGTGGCCCTTGTTGTTGCCTTGACTGGCGGCACCCGCACAAGATTCGACGCGTTACCATTTGTATGTTTGAGTATTTGGACGGAGCACTACCGTCATGGTGCCGCCTCTTGCTAGCGTGCCGGCCCGGGTTGTTGGCAATAGTGGTTGACATTAACATAGCAACCCCGCGGTCGATATGTAGCTGTACCTCGCCCTTGCTGCCATTCTGTCGTGAATTAGGGTTCGAAAGTGCTTGGGAGAACTTTCACTTGTCTCCCACGGGTAGTGCGGACGATCATCCACCATCGCAGACTCTGTTGCCTAACCACACAAGGGGGGGGGGGGGGGGGGGGCTGAGCAAGCCCAACCTTCTCTTCAGTAGAGGACCTATACAAAATGGCGTACGACTGACCGGGATCGGTGGGGGTTCCGACCGCTTTGAAGCTCCCAGGGCTTGCCCATTGTCGCATCGCACACTCGTATGGCAAACGGCCACAGGGTGGGATTCGCCATTCAGTTCCAATCAGCTGCGTCTCTCGAACTGCGCCAAGCTCGACGACCAGAGAATATGAGTTTAGTGTTGAAGCTTGCGATAGCAGCTAAAAGGATACACTTCCCAGAAAACCACCACCATTCTAGTCTGGAGTAGTTGGGTCTTGCAATGAAGTGATGTCTCCCGTACATCTAGCATACACTGGGGGTGGTCCAGTCAGAAGACCACTGCCACGAACAAGCCATCATCCAGACGGTATATTGCTTGTTTTCATTGGAGGTGTACTCGACACTTCAAACCCTGTTGTGGGTAGAACATGTCGATCCTGCCCAAGACAGTGACGGTCCGTCCACGAGAATCTGCTGCGAATAGCATACATTACCTGATCAAGGGCCAGTGTAAATCCTTGTGGTAACCGAAAAGCATAAAGGAAGCTTCTCGTGGTGACATTAGAGGTAGAGAATGTGTGAAGATCCCCACACGCTGCAAAAGGCTGTCAGATGCAGGCTAGTCTAACCTGCAGTGGTGGGGTTGGTTTGGCCATACACTGGGAGACGGAGGATGTCCGGCTCCAGTACTCTAGGAGCTCGATTCTTCGAGGGATTGTCGCGGGTCCAACTTCGTCTGCACCAAGATCTACTGGCCCAAGAGTCATCATCATCGCCATGGCCTTGGTGATTGCCCTTTCGTCGTCAATGTTTGATCCCAGTTCTCCAAGAAGCCAAAGGAGGGAATGTAAGGTCCAGCTGGACATACTCGTGAGATGGATCGACGACAGGGTTGGTGGCGACTCTCCCCGCGCCGAGAAGAGCCATGAGGAAAGAGAAAATCAGGTGGGGGGCCATGCAGTTCGTTGAATCCTTGGGGGCAATAATCTTGTCGACTAGCATGAGCCACAAAAGGTCTTTTAGGTATAGATAGATCTGTTGGGTTTTCTCCTTGTTGGCTTTTCGCCGACTGCAAGGTTTGTAATTGACACCATGCCATGGGGTTTCTGAGAATACGAGACAGGGAATGGCAACGTGTGGATAGCTGCTGGCTGGAGATAACAGCGATCGTAAAACAAAGAAGTCTCGGAGGTTAGAGCGATTTGAGGACAATTATCGCGAACATGACAAGCAGAAGTGAAGGGATTCTAACAATCCGGCAATATTGCGATTGGGCCTTAAAGTTATTGTTATTCGATAGGACTGAGCGTCCATCTTCTGTCGAGTAATGCCTACTCTTTTCCTAGGGCAATTTGTGCCATCCAACAAAGGCATACAGTATGATTCTGATTGTAGTGATCCTTTGGGGACCAACGATTGGTGCATCAGAGACACTCGGTAGTGTCCACAGTGAATTCATTTGGTACCGGACAGCAACTTCACAGGCGCAAAGATGTTGTTGCCTGCCGGTTCTAGTGGACATGAAGGGCACAAAGAGCATCAGCCACGCCACTAATGAAGGAGAGTGTGAAACGTGGGAAAGGACTAAGCATCCAGGCATCTGTGCTTCTCTCGCTTCGTCCCCTGGCGCAGCTGCGGAATGAAATTCGGGTTGTGATCGGCGCACTTTCCAAATTCGGGCGCGCAATAAATATTTTTCCACCGCGCAATGCGACCAACACGATCGGAATGGGAACTGTGAGAACTCACTTTGCCTTCACCAACTAACTTCTCTTCTCAAGTATCTCACCACAGAAGTCTCAGTTCCTGAGTCATGGACTCGTATCGCCCTTCTAGTGACGACCATCGGCCTTATCGAGATAGCGACTCTTACCGGCCCCGCCGCTATGACCCTCCGCCCCCGCCTCGACCTCCAGCGAACAGCGGCAGCGGCATGTACTACTTCCAAGGCTCGCTCAACTCACGCGACAGAGATCCGCCGGCACCCTCTGGCTATCGCTCAAGATCTGAGTATCATGGTGCGCGGTCGCAGCCCCGACGAGACCAAGCTCGCAGACCTCCGCCGGCTTTTCGTAAGACAGCGGCAGACAGGCCTTTGCTGAGACTTCGCCATGACGACTCGACAGATCCCTCCCTCGAAGATCCCAACTCGACCTCCAAGTCCAAGTTTCGCAACGTTGACGAACTCACTGATAGTGAAGAAGAGAAAATGGCGCAATCCGACGAAGACGAAGAGGTAGATCGGCGAGCGAACAAACGTGCCCGAGTAAATGGACCCGAATCTACTGCCATGCTTGCGCCGCCAAAATGGTCAAACCCTGATCCATACACCTCGCTCCCTCCTCAGACAGAGGCACCTGCTAAACGCATTGATGTCGTCAAACTCATCCGGAAAGCACGCATCGACGGCACCCGCAGTCTCGAGAACGTCAACCTAGCCCACGACTTCATCTCCTTTGATAGTGAAGAACAAACTCCAGGTGAAAAGTCGCTATCTCCGGCACCTCGCTCAGAACTTCCACTGGCGTCCAAGGCATCGACCCCTCGAGGAGAGATCAAGACCACTGTTACAGGCAAGAGAAAACGAGGAGCCTCTCTGGGTGAGGAAGTACCGCTGCCACGGTCTGACAACCAAATTTATGCCGATCGACATGTGCAGGAAGAGTGGAGAGCTACACCCGGGGTCGACACCACACCGTGGCTGACCTCTCATCCGCCTAGTGACATTCCTTTAGTCGCGTAAGTGAGCACGCATATTTTCCACTTCGCAACTAACCGGCACAGTTTCCACAAAGAGATCATTGACTTCTACGACTGGGTCAAACCGAAACCTCATGAGGAGGATGTCCGCGGCGATGTCTTTCGACGCTTGAATACCATCTTACAAAGTTTCACGTATGGAGAACTGAGAGCCTTCGGGTCTTATGCTGCCGGCTTGTACTTGCCCACCGGAGATATGGACCTGGTCTACCTCACTCGCAACTTCAGACCTGGCCGATTCTCTCAAGACGATTCGAGGCGACTCGTCTACGACTGTGCCAGATTTCTCAGGACAAGGAACATCGCCGAAGGACTCGTGGTACCTATCCCCAGGGCCAAAGTACCCATCATCAAGTTCGTGGATAGAGTCAGCGGCCTCAAGATTGACCTCTCTTTCGACAATGACACCGGTGTTGTTGCTATTGACACATTCCACAAGTGGAAGCAGGAATATCCGGTTATGCCCATGATCGTGTCAGTGGTGAAGCAGTATTTGATGATACGAGGGTTGAATGATGTTTCAACCGGTGGTTTGGGTGGCTTTTCAACCATCTGCTTGGTCACCAGCCTGCTCCAGCATTTACCAACTCCTAGGCGGCCTATCAACCTTGGCGACGTCCTCCTGCAGTTTTTCAACTACTACGGAAACCTGTTCGACAAGGATGAGGTGGCTATCCGACTCGATCCGCCCGGATATCTGCACAAGGTAGTTTCACCCATCCTGTTTCGTTCCTACTAACAAAGAATTCCAGGCATCTCACCGACCTCGATTCGATGAAAGAGAATCAAGACGACTTACTATCATTGATCCACATCGCGCGGACAACAACATCTCAGGCGGAACCAAAGAAATCGATAAGATCTTCAAATGTTTTTCCGAGGCATACAAGGCGCTTATGAATCGACTCTGCGCGTACGAAAGACGAGATCCACGAGCTCCCCAGGGGAGCTTTTTGGAATGTCTCATTGGTGGCAACTTCACGTCTTACGAGTCACAACGAAAGAAACTGCTTGATCTTCTTTCATCGCCCGATGATACCGAATCTGTTGTGAAGAATGGAGGATACTCGTCTAGGGTGTCTCATCGACCGGCAGTTGTCCACACGCATGGTAGACGGAACGTATGTTGATAGGTCCTGTTTTGCAGAGCAGGAAGCTTGACGTGTTCTAGGATCAGACGGACGAATCTGGCGGCTCCGTGGAGAGAATACCTGCACCAACTAAGAAGCTAGGTAAAGGTGAAAGACGAGCGAAGCGCCTTAAAGACTTGCGACCGGACCTCGCGCCATCGATACGGAATACTATTAGTCTCATTGACGCTTTGAAGATTGGAGGCTACAAAACACCACAAGAGATGGATAATGACCTCCAGATACGGGAAGCCGCAGCGGCCAAGATCGCAGCGGCCAAGGTCCAGTGATATCAAGAGCATTTGTCAGTCGAATCACTCTTACGAGTTATCTATCACAAGCTGGCACCATTGGATTTGGACCGTGTGTCGAAGATTGCAAGTCGTCTGACAAGTGATGGAGCATATTGACAGTGACAGTGCCTGCAGAGCTCTGCGTCTCAGAGTACCTGCCTCGAATCGCACCCACTTGAAAAGTACCAGCAATGGTTTCTTCCTTCCATACTAACATCAACCATGGATTCAGAGACTGCTGACAAGTTTATAGACTGTTGTTATCCTACAACGGCTGGTGCCTCCTGAGTTAGATCGGGCACAAGGTGTCATGAAGACCATGGATGATCTTCTCTATCTTTTCCTTTCTAGTCCTTGGCTCCTGCGTGATCACCTGTGCTGTGAAGGGGTAGCCATTCGCGCGTTCCGAGGCAGGATTGGAACAGCATCAGGGGCTTATATCGCGTCCACTACCGAACCTACTAACCAAGGATCAACCTACTGAGAGGAGGAAACGCGTGACACCCCAAGCTCCACGGCACGAGAGACCAGACGCCAGCTGGTTCAAGGTCCCCTTAAGTGCAAGGCGGCTTTTGCCACGCAAGTGGTGCCTATCAGTGCTCTTCAGCTCTGCCCTGCCGCCCCTTTTCTCATTGTCAAAGTGCTTTATGCACTATGGCGGAGAGGAAACCCCGGTGGCAGACCAATATATTGGCATGGGTGTCCTGGTGCTGCATGGCCTCATGATTTTGAGGGTGGTACTTGGTACTCTTGGAGGCAGTCATGGGGGCGAGGTGCAAGGCTGAAAGAGTAACTTCGGTGGTCGCTGATGGGTGGCTGAGGAGGGGCTGCAATTGATTCCAAGACTGGTCGTGAATGTCTCCTTCTGTTGCTCAACCTCTCGTTGAGTACCGATCTCCTATATATTCTCGGCTTTCTGAACAGGCTTGGTTAGCAAATGAAAGAAACAGAGAGTGTCGAAAGAAGCTCTCTTGGTGATGCAATGAACATGGAGCAAGACATATCGAACGACAGTTGAACTACACCGCCCGGTTGGGTCTATAGGAAAGTAGAGACCGGTAAGGCGTTGTCTGCCTTTTTAAATACGTCAACAACTACAGTGCTACCCAAAATAGATACGTAGATTGCAGGGCGAGACAGCGGTGCCTAGAGAGGATAAGAGGTAGGGGAAGTTAAGCATCTGGGCTCTTCTGGGTTGATGTGGTAGGCTATTCTAGGCCTGCCTGCACCCAAGAAACCTCTTCAATGAGTTTAATAGGGGGGATTAGGGGGCCCTACCACGCCTATTGTACCTGGTTGGGGACTATTCTGGCACTCTGGGTCACTCACCCGCTGCTCCGCCGCCAAGCACAAGCGCAGGCACCCTGCCAGCCTGACTTTCACTAGTCTCCGCATGCATGTTCAGCGGCGGAACATCGACATGGGAATTCCTGCCTCCCCTCATGTAGAGCAGAGCAAAAAGTCACTTGAAGCATGGAATAGGCCAACATTTCGTCCTCGACAGCACCTCACAGCGGACACACATTAGCATCTCCATCCGCAACATCGCGTCCAGAGGTCATCCTGCGGACCATGTTCCTGCACTATGGCGTCGTCGCAAGGTCCCGTTCCAGACCCCAGCGAACGCATCTTCGTTGATCTACGAAGCAAGAATGACGAAGTCAAAAGCAAGGCTGCAGCAGAGCTGCGTGACTTGATCACACTACTCTCGAGAGGTCAGTCTCATTCCCGGTCTCGCCTCTTGATTTACTGACCTGTTTTTCATAGAATGGTCCCCCGAACGATTCAGCGCATTCTACGACAGAGTGACCACCCGCATCAGCAACCTCATTGTGCAGGCACCAGACCCGAGTGACAAAGTCGGAGGAGTCCTGGCCCTGGACCGACTTATAGACTGCGAGGCAATAGATCCTGCCCAGAAGGCTTCAAAATACTCTAATTACTTGCGGGCAGCGTTGAAGAGCAATGACTACAGTGTGCTGGATGCGGCCAGTCGGGCGCTGGGCCACCTGGCTCGACCTGGGGGGGCATACACAGCAGAGCTTGTCGAAGCCGAGATGACTTCGGCCTTTGAATGGTTACAGCCAGAAAGCAAACAAGAAAGCCGCAAACTGGCAGCCGTGCTTCTCATCCGCGAGCTGGCCAAAAACTCCCCAACCCTTGTATACGGCTTCATCCCCCAGATTTTCGAGCTGATCTGGAATGCCCTGCGAGACCCTAAAGACCTCATCCGCCGGATCGCCGCCCAGTCTGTCAGCGCATGCTTTGGTGTCATGGTTGCAAGAGACACGCAGTTTCAAAACCATTGGTTTGCCAAAATATACTCCAAGACCCTTGAGGGCTTCCGTCCAAACACCTCTGTTGATGAGACGCTCGGTTCTCTCTTGATCTTGAATGAACTGCTTCAACAAGGGAATATGTTCATGCACGACTTCTACAGAAACGCCTGCGAAACTGTGCTCCGGCTGAAGGACCACCGCGACCCCAGGATTCGTACCCAGATTGTACAGATCATTCCAGTCCTGGCCGAGTACGCCCCTCTCGAGTTCATCAACAACTACTTGCACAAGTTCATGATCTACCTCCAAGCACAGCTCAAGCGGGAGAAGGAACGCAACCAAGCATTTATCGCCATTGGCCAGATTGCGGATGCCGTCGGTAGTGCCATTGCCCAATATCTTGATGGCATCATCCTCTACATCCGGGAATCGCTGAGTGCAAAGACCAAGAATCGAGCGGCAGTTGATGAGGGCCCGATGTTCAAGTGTATCAGCATGCTTGCAGGAGCGGTCGGCCAGACACTTAGCAAGTATATGGAGGCTCTCCTAGATCCAATCTTCGCTTGTGGTCTTACCGAACCCATGGAACAGGCTCTTGAGGATATGGCGCACCACATCCCACCAATTCGGGCGACCATCCAGGACAAATTGCTAGATCTTCTGAGTCTAATACTGGTGCGAACTCCTTACAGACCTCTGGGCTGCCCACCGAATTCATCGCCGCCCCTGCCGTCATTTGCAAAGGACTATGGAGGCATGCCCGCCGAACACAGCCCTTATGAGATTACGCTAGCTCTCAAGACCTTGGGAAAGTTCGACTTCTCAGGTCACATACTTAACGAGTTCGTCAGGGATGTCACACTTCGCTACGCAACTAACGACAACCCGGATATCCGACGTGCAGCTGCACTCACTTGCTGCCAGCTGTTCATGCAGGACCCTATCCTTCATCAGACCAGCAACAATGCTATCCAGGTCGTTGGTGAGGTAGTGGATAAACTCTTGACTGTTGCAGTCGGTGATCCCGACGCCGACATACGAGTGACTGTCCTTCGAGCCCTGGATCGAAAGTTCGACAAGCATTTGGCCCGACCAGAAAACATCCGCTGTCTGTTCTTGGCCGTAAACGACGAGGTCTTCCCTGTTCGTGAGGCAGCCATTGAAATCATTGGCAGGTTGACGACAGTCAACCCGGCTTATGTGTTTCCGCCTCTACGAAAACTTTTGGTCAACCTGCTCACTGGTCTCGGTTACTCTAATACAGCAAAGCAAAAAGAGGAGTGCGCCCGTCTGATCAGCTTGTTTGTCTCGAATGCTACTTCTCTCGTGAGGACTTACGTGGAAGCCATGGTTTCTGCTCTTCTGCCTAAAGCGACCGATACGAACCCAGGGGTCGCTTCGACAACCATTAAGGCCCTTGGAGATCTCACTTCTGTTGGTGGAGAGGAAATGGCTCAACATATTCCAGAGCTCATGCCCATCATCATCGATGCGCTGCAAGATCTCGGCTCACACGAGAAGCGCGAAGCAGCCATGATGACCCTACGAGCCCTCGCAATCAACTCCCAATATGTGATTGATCCCTACCTGGATTATCCCGAACTTCTCGGAATTCTCATCAACATAATCAAAACAGAAGCGCACGAAGAGCTAAGAACAGATGCTATCAAACTAGTCGGTGTCTTGGGTGCCTTGGATCCCTACAAATATCAGCAGCTCAGTGAATCGGTGGCAGAGAAACAAAGCAAGACAGAGACACAGCCAGTGTCGGATGTTGCTTTGATCATGCAAGGCTTGACGCCATCGAACGAGGAATTTTACCCTACGGTCGTGATCAATACACTCATGCAAACCATCCTCGCCGATCATACGCTCGTTCAGTATCACAGTGCCGTGATCGATGCGGTTGTGACGATTTTCAAGACAATTGGCATGAAGTGCGTGCCATTCCTGGGTCAAATCATACCCGGGTTTCTCGGTGTCATTCGCAGCTCCCCTCCTCCTCGCCTGGAGTCGTATTTCAACCAACTTGCGGTTCTTGTCAACATTGTCCGTCAGCATATCCGTGCTTATTTGCACGATATCATCGAGGTCATACGGGAATTCTGGAACGTATCGAGACAGGTCCAATCCACGATTTTATCCTTGATCGAGGCAATCTCCAAGTCTTTGGAAGGCGAATTCCGCCGATACCTGGCAGGACTGTTGCCGCTCATGCTGGGCGTGATCGAAAACGACACAGATCTGAGGAGAGAGTCTTCCATCCGCATCCTGCACACATTTCTTGTCTTCGGCTCTAGTGGAGAGGAGTACATGCACATGATTGTACCGGCAATTGTTGGCATTTTCGAAAACCCAGCGGCACCTCCGAATGCCCGCAGGGCAGCAATTGATACATTGGGAAAACTGTCTCGAAATGTCAATGTGACGGACTTTGCGTCCCTCATGATCCACCCGTTGGCAAAGATATTATCTTCTCCTGAGAAAGTCGTGACAAACTCCTCGGAACGGTCACTAAAATCCGCTGCGCTAGACTGCATCTGCGCACTGATATATCATCTTGGACAGGATTTTGTGCACTACTTGCCTCTCATCGAACGGTCTACAAAGGCGGGCCAGATCAACTCTGAGAGGTTCCAGAAACTGATAGAGAATTTCAAGACCGGTAAAGCTCTGCCGGTCGACTTTTACCCAGAGGAACAATATGGAGCAGCGACCGAAGACACAAGCTACTCCAATATCACCTCGATGAGGCTTCCCGTCAATCAGCAGCATTTAAAGAGTGCCTGGGACACCTCTCAGAAATCCACAAAGGAGGACTGGCAGGAGTGGATGCGACGCTTCAGCGTTGAACTACTGAAGGAGTCTCCGTCGCACGCTCTGCGGGCCTGCGCGAGTCTGGCTGGTGTTTATCAACCACTGGCCAAGTATCTTTTCAACTCCGCATTCGTCTCGTGCTGGACTGAGTTGTATGATCAATACCAGGAACAACTCATCCAGTCGTTTGAAAAGGCTCTAATCTCTCCGAACATCCCTCCAGATATTTTGCAGACCTTGCTTAATTTGGCAGAGTTCATGGAACACGACGACAAATCTCTCGCGATCGACCTTCGAACACTAGGACGATATGCCGCCAAATGCCATGCATTTGCCAAAGCACTCCATTATAAGGAACTTGAGTTTGAGCAGGATCAAAATAGCCAGAGTGTTGAAGCCCTCATCAGCATCAACAACCAACTCCAACAGTCCGACGCTGCTATTGGCATTCTTCGAAGAGCACAAGTCTTCGGCGAAGTCGAGTTGAAGGAGGCATGGTTCGAAAAGCTGCAGCGATGGGAGGAAGCGTTGGCAGCATATCAGAAGCGCGAGAAGATTGAGCCAGACAATTTCGACGTGATTATGGGCAAGATGAGGTGTTTGCACGCCCTGGGCGAGTGGAAAATGCTGTCTGAGATTGCACAAGAACATTGGAACAGCGCATCAACGGAGAACCGCAAGAACATGTCTGCTCTGGCTGCCGCGGCGGCTTGGGGCAGAGGCGAATGGGACTTGATGGACAACTACATCAGCGTCATGAAAGAGAGCTCACCCGACCGAGCATTCTTTGGTGCTATCCTTGCCATCCAACGAAACAATTTTGGAGAAGCCCGCAGTTTCATCGTCCGGGCACAAGATGGTGTCAACTCAGAGATTGCAGCAACCATTGGTGAATCTTACAACCGTGCTTACAGTGTTGTGGTCAGGGCACAGATGCTTGCAGAGCTTGAGGAAATCATTCTCTTCAAGCAAAGCGAAGGGAACCTCGAAAAGCAAAACGCCATGAAAGTGCTATGGAATAAGAGACTTCTCGGGTGTCAGTCCAATGTTGAGGTTTGGCAACGAATGCTCAAGGTTAGGGCCCTTGTTCTCACCCCTTCAGAAAATCCAGATATATGGATCAAGTTCGCAAATCTCTGTCGAAAATCGGAGCGTATCGGCCTGGCCGAAAGATCCCTGGCCTCTCTAGGAGGTAGTGGCAACCTTGCTGCTACTGGCCCGGGCGCGGCGCCGCCACCAGTTGCATATGCTCGTCTCAAATTCACTTGGGCCACAGGAAATCAACAACAAGCTCTAACATACTTGCGAGACTTCACCACCCGACTAGCTGACGAATATCAACAAGCCAACACTGCTCTGGCCAGTGGCATACACAACGACAGGATGAACAATATGAATGGTCTTGATATGAACGGACATGATGCGATAGCTCAGAGGAGAAGACACGAGGACTTGGAGAAGTATGCGAAACTCCTTGCCAAGTGCTACCTCCGACAGGGAGAATGGCAGTCCTACCTTCTAAGGGGCGATTGGACGAGTCCACGAGCTCAAGATCCAGTACGCGACATCCTCAATTCGTACCAATTGGCGACGCAATACAATGAGTCATGGTACAAAGCATGGCATGCCTACGCGTTGGCGAATTTCGAAGTCGTCACATCGATGGCGTCCCATACCGATCAAGACAAAGTCCGCAACCTTCCTGAGCACGTGATTCAGAACCACGTTGTTCCTGCCATCGGAGGCTTCTTCCGCTCGATTGCGCTCTCCAAGACAAGCTCGCTACAAGACACGCTTCGGCTGCTGACGCTGTGGTTTGCTCATGGCGGTCATAGTGAAGTCAACCAGGTGGTGATTGAAGGATTTGCTTCCGTCAGTATTGATACCTGGTTGGAGGTTATACCCCAGTTGATCGCTAGAATCAATCAGCCAAACGCCCGGGTGCGAGCGGCTGTGCACAGGCTGCTCGCAGAAGTTGGTAAAGCGCATCCTCAAGCGCTAGTCTATCCGTTGACGGTTGCAATGAAGTCGTCAGTCGCGCGACGAGCCAACTCAGCAACTCAAATCATGGATAGCATGAGAACACACAGTGCTCGACTGGTTGAGCAAGCAGATCTGGTTAGCCATGAACTCATCAGAGTCGCGGTGCTGTGGCATGAGCTTTGGCATGAAGGCCTGGAGGAAGCCTCTCGCCTGTACTTTGGTGATCATGACGTGGAGGGAATGCTTGCCACTCTGGCTCCACTCCACGAGCTCCTTGATCGCGGTGCCGAAACTCTCAGAGAGGTGTCATTTGCTCAGGCGTTTGGCCACGACCTCGCGGAGGCGCGTGCTTTCTGTAACGCTTTCCGACGCTCGAAGGAAATTGGCGACCTCAATCAAGCTTGGGACTTGTACTATGCGGTCTTCAGAAAGATCGCGAGGCAACTTCCCCAGCTGATGAGTTTGGATCTCAAATACGTGTCCCCTCGACTAAAGGATGCTCATGATCTCGACCTTGCAGTTCCTGGAACTTACCAGTCGGGCAAACCCATCATTCGGATCGTTAGCTTCGACCATGTTCTGACAGTGATACCCTCCAAGCAACGACCGAGAAAGACAACACTCAAAGGGTCAGATGGTGTGTCGTATGCATTCCTCCTCAAGGGTCACGAAGATATCAGACAAGATGAGCGTGTGATGCAGCTGTTTGGGCTCGTCAACACCCTTCTGAACAACGACACCGAATCATTCAAGAGACATCTCAACATTCAACGATTCCCAGCTATACCGCTGTCGCAGAACTCTGGTTTGTTGGGCTGGGTGCCAAATTCTGATACTCTTCATAACTTGGTTAAGGAGTACCGCGAGTCAAGGCGGATCTTGCTGAACATTGAGCACAGAATTATGCTGCAGATGGCTCCTGACTACGACAACCTCACACTCATGCAGAAGGTGGAAGTTTTCGGGTACGCAATGGACAACACGACCGGGAAGGATTTGTACCGTGTGCTTTGGCTGAAGTCCAAGAGCTCCGAAGCCTGGCTTGATCGGCGAACAAACTACACCCGCTCACTCGCTGTCATGTCAATGGTTGGATATATCCTCGGGTTGGGGGATCGCCATCCATCAAATCTCATGCTTGACCGCATCACTGGCAAGATCATCCACATCGACTTTGGTGATTGTTTTGAAGTAGCCATGCATCGCGAAAAATATCCGGAAAGAGTCCCCTTCCGGCTGACGCGGATGCTCACCTTCGCCATGGAAGTCAGCAATATCGAAGGGTCGTTCCGCATAACATGCGAGAACGTCATGCGCGTCATCCGCGAAAACAAGGAGTCGATTCTGGCAGTGCTCGAAGCCTTCATCCACGATCCCTTGCTTAATTGGCGTCTCAACACCCGCGAGTCTCCGCCCAGACCACACTTCCGCTCCGAACGGAGGCAAAGCATCATCGAAGCCCCCGGTGCACAGGGAGGAGACTATGATCGCAGTCCTATGGAGAGTGCGAACAACCCGGCAGCGATGATGAACAACCAGGGACAGAGCCATGTTGGTGCACCGCCAGGACGTCGACACCGTCGCAGCAGTGTTCTTGATCCAGCGATGGTAGGCGGAAGTGTGCTTGACAAAACAACGGACAACAATGCCGCAGCTCAGGAAGCAAAGGAGGTACAAAATGCCCGAGCTTTGCAAGTGCTAGCCCGCGTCAAGGAGAAATTGACAGGACGTGACTTCAAGCCTGCGGCGCCAGGTACACCCTCATACGCTATGGCAACAGCCCTTCGCGCGGACGTCAACGGCCTTGGCCTCGAATCTCTGATGAACGTGAACGGCGGCGCGATGAACAACTTGACCAATGGCGCGATTGGGGCCGTGGATATGCAGCCACACGGTAAACAGGTCTCGATTGCAGGCACAGCACCCGAGACAACCATGGCGGGGATCGGTGGATTGGGAGTTGCGGAGCAGGTGGATCGCTTGATTCTGCAAGCGACGAATGTGGAGAATCTATGTCAGCATTATATTGGGTGGTGTTCGTTCTGGTGATTGGGGGTGGTTGGAAATGGTGGACTATCTTAATTCCTGTTGTGCGGGAGATACTTACCTCTCCTGAGACGAGGGCATGCCTTTGAACCACGGGCCTTGGTCTGCCTCTGCGTTTGTGTCACGTCCATATCGCTCAGAGAGGTCATGCTGGCTTCCTGCATGTCTCGGCCTTGTCTATAACGAGGACGGCACTGGACTGGCCAGGCACTAGCAGATGGAAGAAAATGAATGGCAAAGGCAATGGCAAAAGTCGATCTGTGGCGGTCGGAACCGCAGGGAGGCTGATCGTCCATCAACTTTCCTCGTATTTACACTTTCCTCACCCAAGTTACAAACTGTAGCCGGATGGCAGAGGACACCGACTGATTGTAACGCATAGGAAGGAGGGGGCATAGAGCAGCATGGGCATTTCATAGCATTGCATAGCATAACATAGCATCGTATAGTATGGCAACACGTGCACGCACGCATGTATGGCGTGGCGTAGTATTTATTGTATGGTATGGTACGACATTACACTGGCTTATCGTTACAGCTATCATAGCATACCATCGCATACCACAGCACAGCACAGTATAGTATAATACCCACGCAAAGGCCTTGCACTTTGGTAATACACCAGTCAGAGGAGCTGCTGCTCAGTTACTCGGTTACTCAGTTACATACGTACATACGTACATACCACCGCGTGAAGACGAAAAAACGCCCCTCTTGCAAAATTTTCTGAATCCGTACAAAAACGACATGGAATACGGCGGCGAATGTGCGTGCATCACGGTGCAGTTGGACGAGGTATAAGGTATACGAGGTATACGAGGAGACTAACGCTAACGCTGAATGGAAATAAATACCCTGTACAGGTACAGAAGTCTAAATCGGAATGGAGCAGAGTGTTATTATGTACGAGGTACAGAGTAGTATGTGTGTAGAAATCAATAGGATTGAATCAGTCAATTCAATCAATGGCAGTGTCATTACTGAAGCCTAGAACAAAGCATTTATTTGGGCGTCAGGTACGAGATACTCAGCTCGGTATTTGCATCCATACCAAACAGGACCAAAGAAAAACTCCATGCCTCGATTTTACCTGCTCGCCACGCCACCTTGAAATATCAGCAACAAGTCAAATGGTTTCTCGCATGCATTTTTCTTTTCCTCTTTTGTCTTTTTTGGTTTCTGGTCCTGGCTTGCCTTTTTTGGACCTTTTGCAATCCACTTTGCGTGATGGTCTATTTGGTAATGTCGAGTTCGGCTCATGCTTTTCCAGATGACATGCACCTAATCGTGACAACCTTGAACAACGCCCGTAAATGAAAGAGCCGGATGCATATTTTCTGAGACAAAAACAGCTCGGTGTCCACATGTTGGATCGTTTTTGGTATCTGCCTGGTCGGGCAGACATGCTCGTGCGCTGCTGGCAGACAGGGCACATCGCTTGCTCCGTCTGCAAGATCTAGTGGTATCCATTTGTGACACCATTCGTCCCATTCTGTTGGGTGTGTTTAACTTGTCTCCTTGTCCGCACCGCCTCGGCCAATTGCTCCAAAACTTCCACTGTTGTTTCCCAGTTGATACAAGCGTCCGTGATACTGACCCCCTTTTGCAGGCTATCGAGACCACCCTCAGGAGGTACCTTCTGGTTGCCCTCATTGATGTTAGACTCAATCATGACCGCCACGATTGCATCTTCGCCCTGTCTCAGCTGGTCACCGATGGCTTGAGCGACCAAAGGTTGGTTCCTATGGTTCTTCTTGGAGTTGCCGTGCGAGCAGTCAATCATCATGACTTCTCGCTGGCCCTTGGACTTCAAAGCTGCGCGAGCTGCCTTCACCGACTCCGCATCGTAGTTTGTGCCCTTTGAGCCGCCACGGAGAATCACAAAGCCGTCTTCATTGCCGGCTGTTTTTGTGATGGCAGCCAAGCCTTGCTTGGTGACACCCATGAAGTGGTGTTTCGCGGCGGCAGCTCCTACGGCATCGATGGCCACAGAGAGTGACCCGTCTGTTCCATTCTTGAACCCCATTGGGAAGGACAAACCCGAGGCGAGTTCTCTGTGAAGTTGAGACTCGGTTGTTCGGGCTCCAATGGCACCCAGGGAAATCAGGTCAGCCAGAAATTGCGGCGAGATTGTGTCGAGCATTTCGCTCGCAATAGGCATGCCCATTGAGGTAAGGTCGGCGTAGAGCTGTCTCGAGACGCGAAGGCCTTTGTTTATTTTGTACGACTCATCAATGTCAGGATCGTTGATGAGACCTTTCCAGCCCACTGTGGTCCGGGGTTTTTCTAGGTAGGCACGCATAATGATACATAGATCCGACGACAGCTTTTCCGCAAGCTCTTTCAGCCGACCGGCGTATTCAAGAGCTGTTGCAGGGTCATGGATGGAACAGGGTCCGACCATGACAAGAAGTCTGTCATCCCGCTGGTGTATGATTTCTTTGCATTCTCGGCGACCTTTGGCAACAGTCTCGACTGATGCTTGTGATGCAGGAACCTCGGCTTGCAGGAGGGCAGGGGGAATAAGAGGGTCATAGCCAAGGACTCGAACGTCCTCGCCGGCGGCAGAAGCTGCAGTATCGGCGGAGGGCATTGTGAGGAAGGCTGTGTGGAAGTGGCTATTGGACGAGATGAGCAGGCGAGATGTCACAGGACGAAGGGACAGAAAATAGGTGAAGTCGTAGGGGTGGAAGAGGAGTGTAGGAAAGAAAGAAAAAAAGAAGAGGGTAAGGTATAGCTATTGTGTGAGCGGAAGCATAGTCACCCCAGTCAATGGTATGATTCACAAGGGCGACGTGCGGCGAGGACTGGCCTCGACTCAGAAAAAAAATTGGGCGCAGTTAAGTGGAGGGCAGCCAAAGTGAAAAAAAGAACTTGAGGCGGTGTGACTCGCTGCAGCTCCCATCGGATAAATGAATTTTCCATTATTCCGCACATTGGGGGCACTAGTCTAAATTAAGTAAACGCGGAATGGCTTGAATCGCCGCCACGAGGCACGAGGGAGGCGCCACACAAACGGTGGTGATGGTACTAAAACAATCAGATGGATGATGACGTAGTGTCAGGGAGGCTCTGGGTGGCTTGTTCGTGGCTTCCCCTTTCACTCATTCTCCCTGCGGCCACAACCAACTTTCCCCCCACAAACGCGACACACAGACCGACAAACTTCCCTTCTTCCCCCCAGCATGAGTATCTCTTCCACATTACTCTGTACAAGTCATTATATTCGACCATCTTACCATCTCCCTTCTTAACACTCAGCCGCCCCCTTATACAAAAATCTCACAGATCTCACTCGTACGGAACGCTGACTTCCCGAACACCCTTCCATCTGAACCCCGGCCATTCGCCTCCAAGCCCAGGCGCGCGCTCTGGTTGGCCCTCGTTCAAATTGTCTTTGTTTCACCTACTCAAAGACGTCCACCACACGACACTGCCACGGTTTGATCGACTCTCCTTGCACACGGGGCTATGACTTCGATCTCTACGCTGGAAACATAAAAACACCCCTCTAATCACACCACAATCGCTCCTCGCTCTGTCAAAGCTCCATGTCCGGTTTGAGTCCCAATCACCCGACCACCGCTGATCCCGCTGCCATGGCCGATGTCCACACTTCTATGTTCCATTTCAACAATCCAACACCCTCCTGCAAGCGGAAACGACCATCAAATAATCTAGAGGACGATGGTGGCTTAATGGTTCGCAACCCCAAAAGACGGCCCACCCCGACACAATGTCTACCCTTCCGCTTGTCGCCTTCTTCGCGGCCACATGTTTCAGTTCCTGGCGGTTCTTACCCTCTCTTCACTTCCATCTACCAGCAACCTCCGACTCCGGTGGACACCTCGGATGAAGATGAAAGTTCCAGCCAGTCTTTCAACGGAGCAGAAGACCCGTGGCCGGTCACCAAGAATGACTCGAATAAGGCAATCCAAAATAGCACGTTGTCAGCCAAGGCTCAATTCAGCGATCCGATTGATGTCGAGATGGATCTGCAAATGGCTCCTCCGGCCTCCCAGCCGAGGATACGACGCGCTCGATCGAACGATATCGTGGCTCCCGAGCGCGGGTCCGATTTCCTTAGTGCCATGGATACATTTGCTCGAGAAAGAGTGCCAACGCCCATCAGCGGTCATTTCGACAACCGCGTCAGTGATCTCCCTAACGTTCCACGCCATCATTTCCCACCGCTTCGCACCAATCTCAGCCCGATGATTGAGCAGGAGTCGTGGATCACTCGAGACGGCCTCCCTAGTCCTGTCGAAGACCACGATATGGACGCCGCAATGGTGATGGAGGACGAACCCCCCACTGAGGTGCATTTTCCTGCCGGAAAATACGGAATGGACGACAACTCGAGCCCTACAGGGCGAACGAGGTCGGCAAGGCTTCATATGGGTTATCTCAGTGATTGCGAAAAGTGCATTCAGAAAGTACCTGGCCATTACAGTCACATTATATGGACTTGAAACCAAGGGGCAGTTTGCGTAACAGCTTTTGGTCTGCTCGTGGTTGCATGACGATTTTGATGAGCAATGAGAACAAAGATTAAATGAGAAGCATGACTATCACATCTTGGAAGGTGCCAGGTTACAGGGCGTTCGCTCGTTGGCATGGCCGACAGCGGTGGGAGATTGTATAAACCCACGTGTGGTTTATAGGCAGCATGTTTTGGCGGATTGCTTGCTTGAAACTGGGAATTTTCGATTTGAGAGTTTTGCGCGGCTCTTTCTACGCAAGGGTGCGCGGCCGTTTTCAAATAGCTGTACAAATGACATACCTGGGATGCCCTCCGATACCAGAGATCAATTCCTTCGAAACCCAAGCCCCCGTTTTCATGTGCCTTACGATTCGCTGTTGCTGCCTCTAATCCAACTTAACCAGCTTCTTCCTCCCCCTGTCGAAGGCCCTCCAACAGCACCAGCCACGTTACTGGCCATCACATCCAATGGGCCTCCCACAGTTGTTGGTCTCGCGGCAAGGGTCCTGTCGTCCCTTGCAGGCTCGTCTTCTGCTTTCCTAGTGATGTATTCGACTCTGTCCGCGGGTACAGGGCGACCCTTTGAGTCGATGCCCACGCCCTGGACGCCACTTGGGGCAACTTGAACAGCCTCCCTCACAGGGATGCCTCTAGAAGTAGGCTGTACTTGGCCTCCAACCAAGCCTTCCTCCCTGTGTTTCCATTCAGCACTGGTTTCTCGTCGACTCTTCTCCTCGGCCGTTTCCTCCCCCATTGTCCCCTTAGCCATCTGACCACCCACAAACCCCTTCAACTTGCTCCAGTAGCCTTCTTGCTTCTTCCTCTCCGCCTCTTTCATCCTCGCTGCCTCCATCTCCTGCCCTGCACGTTCCTGCTCGAGCAGATGCAGTTGTTCCGCGCTCGCCTCGCCCTTGAGGAACGCCCGTCTGGCGTCATCCAGCCTGCTCAATTCCCTCTCAACCCACGCGCGCTTTTGTCTTCGTGAGTGGGCAATGAGCGATATCGTGCCGTATGCGGTGACGCAGACTGCGAGGCCGGAGAATATTATCAGACCGTATGCGGTGAGCCGGTGGGCGCGGTCGGCGATGACCCGACCACTGGAAATTATGCGGTCGATGGGTGAGGAGCCGGCCGAGCTCTTTGCAGCCTCGTGCGCGGCCCGGAGACGGGCCACTCTTTCCATTGGCGTCTCTTTCGAGGACGAGCCATGTTGGGGGGACGAGGGAGGCTGTGAAGACGAGGCAGAAGGGGATGGTGAGGAGGGTATATTCCTGGCTCCGGGCCGGGAGGCAGGTTGATAGGTGAAGGTCGTGGCATGAGGAGTTGTCGAGGTGAAGCGAGTAAAGGTGTCGGATGCCGGTCGTCGTGACATCTTTGGTATGAATGCTTTCATTATTTTTTTTCTTGGTGTGGTTCAGGGAGAGAAAAAAACGCAGACGAGGAAAAATCCTCGACGTGGGAGAGGGATACAAAGTTCACTGATGGTGTTACAGAGCTGGCATCTCAAAATTTCGTGCACATTGGGCTACTAGTGTACAGATAAAGTAGAAGGTCGTCCCAGTCAAAGATGGAGAAAATGGCCAATGGTGGGCAGTGGTGGACAAACGTTGGTTGAAGATTGCGAGAAATAAACTGAAAATGAAGCTCCCGAGCGAGACGAACACGAAAGCATCGCATGACGGCGACAAGGATCGCGCGACCCGCTTTTTTTCTCATTGGATCTCCAAAGCTTCTTTCCCTCTTGTCCAACTGGTCAGAGCCAGATAGAGAGAGAACTTGTTGCTCTGTTTCCTTTTCGTTGTGTATTATCTCAGAGGCAACACCTGTTTAGCATCCCAACCAATCACTTGTAGGAAGAAAACTCGCCATAACTTTCGTCCCGGGTATGGCAAAGTCCAGTCAACTTGGTGCACTGACTCCGTACTGCCTCCACGGTCATCTCTTAGGCATTACTATAGATCCTCTTGCCTTGCTGGCCATTCCCCTTGGTGACGATTTTGCTAGTCCACTTTTTCTCAATCAAGGAACCTTCACATCATGTCCACAACACAGATGTAAACATACGATATGTGCCACCTGCATTCTGGTTCGAGTCAAAGGGACGCAGCCTTGCCAAGACGCGAGGCTGTGGTTTGCCGAGCTGATCTGACTGACTTCTGCATCATCACTTCTGGACCTTCAACTTTCCCTCCTTTCTACATCTTTGAGATATCACAAGACCACAGCTCCTCTATGAGGGCATCAAGAGGATCTTCACACTGTCCATGGACTTAGCCTCGTTGCTGCTCTGGTGCTCTGCTTTTTTGACTTGGTCGTGACCTGAAATGGACGGTCAGCGGAATCCAGAGCTCCAGCGGGTACTAGCAGCGCTGAATAGCTTTTCCCAGCAGCAACAACCGCCACCTCAGCCCTCTTTCGTTAGATTCGATTCCTACAGTAGTCAAAGTCTCCATGGGATAGATACTGGTTCCGCCAATACGCTGATCCCGGGCTTGGGCTTACTCCCGTCAACCATCCATGAGCGTGTTGTCTCTCCGCCACCTATCCACCGCCACCAAGACCCAGTTCCTACAGCGCCCCAGGCACAGAGTAGGACGTCAACACCGGCTCTGCCGGAGACTCTTCGCAGCAAGACTTCGACTCCTAATTTCAATGCGCCCGATGCATCGACCATAATTACTTGGCCAGCAGCACTGAAACACGTCTCGCGCCATCTTGTTCACAACGAACAAGTGGCCAATAGGATCAAGCATTTAATCAACGAACAACACAAGCATGAGCGCCAGTGGTGGGCCGGCCGTGAAGCCATTGTTGCTAGACAGCAGGGCAGATCTGGGACATCGCAGCAGGTCTCGGCGATTTTGAAGTCGCTGGGTGCGAAGGATGTGGCAGCTACTCAATCCCGCGGGGCTGCACCATCAGAGGCACAGAAGAAGGCGGACCAGGCAGAACTGGACGCTTATGACAGAAAGGTGTATGCTGGTCTGCTGGCCATGACCGCAGATTTCGACAGGCAACTGCGGTCACTGGGTGTACCGTTTTATGCTATAAAGCATGACTTGGTGATTTTGGAGGATGGACCTGAGAAACGGGCTGGAGCCAACAAGGGCAAAATCGACAGAGGAGAATTAAGGGAGTTGCAGAAGCGGATGTGTCAAACTTTGGAGGATCTGTTCGGGGACTGAGAGTCGGCCTAGAAGGATAACTCGACCAATACAAGGACTTATAAAGAAATCAATCCAGGCCTCTGGATCGAAGCATTTGCAGTCAGGATGAAGTTTGGGAGCATTACATCTCCCGGCAAGTGTGTCTCTTTGGCTAAATAGGCATGTCAGCGCAGAGGGAGCAGAACAGTATCAGTGCAGTGGTGGCGAGAAGATAGACTCTTCCAGGATGCACTGGTCAGTGAAGAGATGTTGGCTGCAGATGAATGCTACTGCCTGACCTGCACTCATGCCAGGAACAAGCGAAGATGCACAAAGATCCCAATGAGGGAAGAATGGCGATGGGGAGCAAGTCCTGTGTTGTGAAACTTCAGGGATGGGGCATCGCGTCTTGCTCTTTGTTGCGCCTTGTTAGCAGTCAGCGTCTCTGCTTCACTTCAACCTCACCCCACCTCACCTCAGGTCATGCTCAAACCTTTCAGGAAAGAGTCCTCAATCTTCGGCACATTGCCTCCGATAGCCATGGGTACCTTGCTGCACTACCTCATCACCGGCACGGGCTGCGATTTGATCATAATCTGTCGCGGAGAATTCTTTCTTGTGCACAAATCAGTCATTGCCGCTCACTCACCGGTGCTGGAAAGAGATGCGTGCAAGTCAACGGTAATTACTTCTTTCACTTCGCCCTCCTCGCCACCATTATACATCTCTCCTCGGTCACTGACTCCGAAGTTTCCAGTTTCTCGATGGCGAGGCGTACATCCTGGACGCAGTCTCTCCTGATGTCTTCCGCAAAGTCCTCACTTTCATGTACCGGGACGACATTCCGGAATCTTTCCAGAGCACACTAGCTGCCTCGACTCAATTTCCCCTCGGCGAAAAGTTCCCATCAACCGACGCCTTCCTGGTCACCATACGGGGCAAGCCTGTCACGGTCAACCTCTTGGGTGGCTCGACCAAGACTATGGACACCATCACTAATGCAGACAAATGGGCCATCTTGATGGCAAAGCAAGCCTTGATCAAGGATACATATGATGTCTGTCCATGTATTAACTTGGACGAAATCTTTCCAGAACTCAATGTCTACCTCGTGGCGAAGCAACTAGAAATTGGACCCCTAAAGGACATCTCCGTGCAAAGATTATCACCTGGTTTGAAAAGGAACTGCGTACGGGTTGCCCATTGTCTGAAGACTTCCATGTCTGGGCTGGTTACATTCTCAGAGCCTATGACGACTTCATACAACCCTTCTTCAGGATCTGTGCACTGCACATTCCTGTCGTGGAGAAAGACACGTCCCTGGTAACTTTGCTTAGGCAATGCAATTCTAGCCTCTGGGAGGGCATGCTGTCCGTCCGTGCACAGTGGCAAAAGGACCTTGTGAACAAACGAGAGGAATTACAAAAGACCAGGGACCAGTGTTTGGTCCTAAAGGTAGACGCAGAAAAGCAGAAAGCTGCGTCCAGAGATCAAGAGAAGCTGCATAAATCGAAAATGGAAGAGCTGCAGAAGTCACTGGCACTGGCCGATGGAAGGACTCGAGCTGCACAAGCGATGGCTCAACGGCTCGACAAGCTCACATGTTCTTTACAACAGGACCTGTTGAAGGAGAAGGCTAGTGGGGTCCAGTTGAAGGAGACCAACACCAAGAAAGAGAACCAGCCCGCCAAAAGCGACCCCGTTACTTCGAAACTTCGGAAGCAAATTGGAGACTTGAACAAAATGGTCAAGAACAAGGAACAGGCCCTCAAAGAATCCAAAGCTACCAATAACAAGGTCAAGGCGGCCCTGCGTAGCGAGAAGGAGGCGCTGCGTATTGAGTATGCCAAAGTCAAAGATGCATTCACGGGGTTTAAGAGATGGATCAATGACACGCCAAAGTGTCCAAGCTGCCAGAGAGAGCACAACATCCGGATCGAGCACCAGCGCTATACTTCGATTGGCGTTGCATGCGCGCATTGCCCATTTCGTACGATGTGGTACGGAGCGGACACCGACGATGGGAAGGCGTGAAAGGGCACAATATGAAAAAATTCATGAGACCAGATGTGGTCATCGAAAAGATGTCAGCTGTTTGATCACAGAGGGTTGTGTAAATGAGAGGAGGTGCTGGGATATCTCCTGTAGTCGATGAAACCGATGCCTGTCTGAGTTGAAGACGTCTGATGGCACTGTCACTATTACATGCGACCTGTGTGCTTGGGGTGGAAGCCTGCCTTCCATGACCATGATGTAGATAGACCAAGTCGCAGTTGCCAAACCCTGCGTGCAATCGCTCTGTCAATAGCTTCAGTGTAGCTTTCTCGAACACTGCGTTCTGTCTGTTCACATTCAAACCAACAAAATTGACAAGTGGTTTCGAGCGGATACTTAGCCCTCCCTCCTGGCACTGCCTTCGGTCCCTCTACTCTTGCACAAACATGGACGAAAGACGAGGTAGTGCAGGTGTCGTGGACACTTTGGCTCGCTCTTCTGACCATTCCACTCCTTCATCCTCCTCTGCTGAAGCAACCACCGATTTACGAAGTCTTGCACTTCGAGCACAAACACTGTCGAGTACTCTCGATACGCTCCGCAAGCACTGTGGACATGAGAGCACCTCGTCGGATATTGCTACTGTCATTGAGGAGTTGAAGCTGCTTGCCTCGGAGCTCCACAGCCTCGATTCCGCGGTCCAGGCCAACAAAGAACTCTATACCGAGGCGTTTGGTGAAGATCTGGGCGAGATTCGTGCACATCTCAGGGGCATCTTTGAAGACATTGCAGATTGCTGCAAAGAGATGCAAAAGGCCGATGGCCCAAACACCAGCGCAGTGGGCTGGCTGACCAAGAAGAGATACGTACGCAAGTTGCAGAAACACTTGGAAGTCAACAAGACCACCCTGATTGTGATGCGCACTGTCCTACACCATGGCAAGGAATATGGAACTTACAAGTCGGTTCGCCCCTTTTGAACTTGAGGCGAACTATAGAACTGACGTTCTCCAGCTCTCCCGGTCGCCTAGCCGAGTCCTCACCACACACCTTGCAAGAAGATCTTGCTATCCTTGAGACTGTCTTTGCAAGCAGGACCGCCATCAAGGACCTCCAGACCCTTGCCAAAAAGGCCCATGGACATTCGCCTTCAACTTCCTCGATAGGAATTAACGATCCCTCTCCAACCCTCCAACCAGGCGCACACGGCCGAAACTTGTCGTCTGCTACGGGTGTCGACATTCCAGTGATGGGAGACGTACTTCCAGCCAGCACTGCAGATGAAAAGGGGAAGAAACAAGATGCATTAGCACGGAGGTTCTCCCGCCGCGGAGTGCGGCTGGCTGTCCACAGCTCAATCATGGACACTAACGCACACGACGTCCCCATCTCACTCCGGAGGAAATGGATTCACGACGCTCAACTTCGACATGGCCCTGACTATATGGAAGCGGATGGCCAATCTGCTGCTCAGCTAAGCAAGATTTCCGAAGTCAACTCCAATTCTGGACAGGACGACGAGTCGGCAAAGCAAGGTCGTCAATCAAGTCTCACCACGCCGGAGGGTCAAACTGTTAGCATCGCTTCATCAACGTCGGGCCCGCTCTCGACGAATTCGAAGAAAAGCTCGTCGCTGGCAAACTCTCCATTGGGTAGGAAATTCGGGAGTGTCATTGCTCGACTTTCTCGCCCGGCCAGTGAGCAACACGAAAGTGCTAGTGAACATAGTGCCGAGGCAAAGGTGCAGGGGGGGGAATCGACAGTGATTAAGAAAGAAATGTCGGCAAAGGAGAAGCCTGGATGGTCCTACCGTTTAACCAGGCCCTTTGTGAAGTCGGAGCTGACCACACCTGATTTCGAACGAGGTTTTTGATTGGGACAGTACAATGATCGGATGGCTATGCAGGGACAGAGTCTGTCCATGGCAAAGAGCACAGCGCACTTTGCTTGGAATGATGTGTGGTATGCAGTCATAGAGTATATTGCAGGCGTTTGAGATAACGCCGTTGAGTCCACCATCAGTACTGAACAAGAAGAGGCATAACATATGATGTATCGAGTACTGCCAAAACGAATATGTTAAGTATAATCCGCCTATCTGAAGACCTTTGCTCAGTGAGGCCTAATTTTGCAAACAGTTGCTGGTATATTACGTATTTTGTACTTTTCCTTTGGTGACATTTTGTCTGGATGAGGCTGAGAATAAATGCCAAGAATCCAGGGGTTGACAAGACTGCAACCATGACTTTGTCTCGTCCCGCGTTTTTTTTTCTCCGTCCGTTTGCATGTCATTCTGTCGATCTGAAACTTGTCGACAGATAACGAACAGAAAACGAGACTCTGAAGAACAATACCGGACGAGGGAACAGAATATCATCCAATCAAACAAGCGCGGTTCGAACGCAGGTCTTTCACACGAAATCGGCAACGGACATGCGTGTCATGTCATGAAAGATGCAGAGAGCGAGTGCGTGGGGATGCCGGATGGCGTTCTGTTCGCTCTGTGTATAGGCGGATGGATGAACGGAACGCTGTTTGAAAGGTCCAGCTAGGAGGGGAGGGGGTGGGTTTGAAGAAGGTGAGAAAGGACAGGGGATGTGTGCGTACCAAACGAAGAAATGCATGGTGGTTTGTTTGGCTGTTCTCTTTTCCCTTCCCTTCAAAACCGAGATCTTGTTCTCCTTCTTCGTCCATCCTTGTCTTTTTCCTTCCTTCGTCTGTTCATATTGCGAATCTTTGTTTGCCTGATTGGATATATCTAGCAATATCTAGCGATAAAAAGACAGAGAAGACAAAACACCAGGAAATCGTTGTCACATATCGAACATAAATTTCCCACCACAAGAAACTACAGGGTGTCTAGCAGCCACAGCCACAACGGTAGTCGCAGCAGATACCGACAACCCTGGATACCCGCATCTTCTCCTCGTCAAGCACCCACCGCCACGGCCGCTTCGAACTCAAGCACACCGATACCGTCTTCCTCCCGGACTGGAGCACCCGCCCGATCATGGACTTGGCCAATAAACTCTCTGGGCTGGACATGTATCTGTACAATGCCGAGGACAGTCCGTGTCCACCACAGTCTGGTTTGAACGGCGGGGATAATGTCCGTGGACATCGGGGTTCAGTGTCGTCAAATGCTCACGCTCAGGGTCCGAAACAGCCGGGTGAAGATACGTTTGACGAAAAGAAACGTCCGCATGTGTCGGCGGGGGGTATGGCGATTGGTGATATCGACGTCAATGGTGCAGATGACCGCGAGCGCGACGGTGAGGGAGACTGGGAAGTTGTCCCCAAGCATCCAGATTGGGACGTGGTCGGTCGTGGCGGCAAGGGCCGTGAGCGAAAGCTATCACTGAAAGCAGATTGGGTCGTGTGCGAAAAGGGTCGAAACGGCAAGGTGCAAATGTTTGAGGGTCCTCGAGTCGAAGACGGCGATACTGCACTGTCCGCGTCGTCGGAAGAGAGAGCTCGGATGACCGACACGTCTCTCCTTGAATCCACCACGCGACCTGGCGTTCGAGTTTCCGCAAAACCCAGCCCGGCACATGCGTCATATATACTCGACGGCGATTTGGATTCGCACCACGCTCGCGCCCGAGAACTAGAAGACAGTCATCCAGCGTCGTCGGATCATGGAACAGCGAACGTGTCCAGAGTTGATCTAGTACCCTCAAGAAAGTCGTACGAGCGAACTCGGCCAGGACGCAAGATACGACCACCGGCATCACCGTCGACGACTCTGGGTGACGAGGCTCGGAAACATGAACAGGAGCTACAACCAGCACTTTCGAGCCCCCTCCGCGTCTCGGCCACCCGCAGGCCCAAACACCCCGCCGCCAACCCGACCAAGAACCGACCACTCCCACCTGACGAACAGGACCTGCCTTTTCTGAGCCCTTCTCCTCCCCCTCCTCCTCCTCTTGTTCCTCCTCCAAAGACCGTCGCCACTAACAAAGACATCCTCGGAGGACCTCACGACCATGAGCAAGTCCCCGCCGTGTCGCGAGTGCTGGCAAAGGGTGACCAGGACTCCGTGGCGCTGATTGCCGCGCAGGAACGGCTGGACGAGAAGCTGCAGCAGCGAGACCAGCGGGGGATTCATAGCCGTCACGAGGAGTGGCGCGATACGGTGCCTTCGTGGCCGCCGCGGTTTTATTATTAGGCTGCTGGTATACTTGTCTACTCGTCTGCTGGGCTTCTAGGCTGCTAGGGGCTTTGTGCTTTGTGCTTTGTGCTTTGTGCTTTGTGCAGTGGCTGGAGGTCGGGAATTGGAACTGGGAAGAGAGATATGATGGGTGGCCGGGTGGTGGTGCTGATGATACGATCTCTGACAACATGTCGACGGCTTACCTCCGCCATTCAGCGCACGGCAGTCAAGAACGCGCAGACAACAACATACGTCGAACTAACATTGCTGAATGCTTTGCATATATGTCTATGAGCCTACATATCTTCTTTCACCCGTCGAAGGACAGAGATCAGTGAGCATCCTGACGCCTGATTGAGCGACTTGGGCTTGCCGTGGATGACGACCTCGTGAAAATAGCTAGGTAAATATGTTGGGAAGAACTCTTGAGATTCTTGGGTGTCGGTCAAAATCTAACACGATCATCATCATCATAATATCATCATATCCTTCCCGTCTGCCTGTCTGGGTCTTTCTCCTCCTCTATCTGCTTGCCTGCCTGCTAAACCGAATTGACACCCATGTGGCACTGGCCCATAGGTTGGGGTAGCCTGGAGAGTGAGAGCGCGCTGGGCCAGTATGTGCCACCTTTCCGTTCGGTGGGCTCACCCTTGAGTGATCCTGGAGCTCGTCCTTATGGGAGACGGAACAGGCAAGGTTTGCCCGAGACTGGCGAACCCATAGCTCAGATTCCATGTCGATGTGGGCTGGAGGAGATTGGAGGACTCTACCGTAGAGAGTAACCATTCTCCCACCAAAAGGAACGGCGTCACCCACTTTCCTGCTTGCCGAAACGCGCTTTATTCTGGAAGGTCAATGTGGTGACACTTTTGATCGATTGATGACCAAGCAAGCCAGACATAGTGCAGCATTCCTGGCTCTCAGGTACAGAGGTTCCCGTATGCCGTCAATGACCAATAGCAGGGCTGTACTGCGAGGAAGCAGAGCATGATATGGACCAAACAGGTGATGCTCAATTGCCACACCCTGAATGCGGAACGGCTGTCGCCTCCAAACTCACTCACATCCACGGCCGGTCTGCCAGAGGTCCAATTTTGTTGCCGTGGCCGAATGGAATTTCCAAACCATCCCTCACAGCTGCAGCCATTGAGATAGTTTATCGAATCGGTCAGAGCATACCAGAATTCCTGTTCTTCCGCACCAGGTGGGCAACATCAATCCCTCTTGCCGATATTGCTGTTGTAGCCACCATAGCCACCGTAGCCGGAGCTCCTCGCCATGCCATTTCCTACGTTTCCGCCGAGGATGCCGTTGGAATATATCCCACTTCGCCCGCTTTTCCTCCTCTCGTAGACGAGCATCGCCATAGCTCCCACGCCAGCACTCGCAGCCACAGCGAAGAAGCTCAGCAACGAAAAACCTATGCTGTGATCCGTCACCTTGAGGACAGGCCGGCCAACCATGCCGGGTAAGACTGCTCCGTCAATCCACCCAACATTGAACGTAAGGACCAATGGCTCATTGCGAACGATTTTGGCGCCCTCGCTGGGCACGGAGGACGAGGTGTTTGGGAGAGAATAAGCAGTCGAGGCAATCAGATACGACTGGTGCGAGGAAGCTCGTGGCGAGTCCGGGTCCTGGGACATGTGGAAGAGAGCATTGATGTTTGTGTGTAGATGCAGATGGCTGAGTTGAAGAACTCCCTGCAGCGCAATTGTAAAGGGTGTCCAGAGGCCCTTTTCCGCGGCGCCCAGCCCGCTCGCGTCGGGGAGGGAAGATGTGATTCCAAGCTCTTCCTGCGTCAATGGAAAGGAAGGGACTCGACAAGTCAGGGGTACATCGCTGTGGACGAAGAATTCGAGGAGGTGATAGAGTTCGTCGGGCAGGGCATCGATCGTGCAGGTCTGCGTTTGCGGCTCGTTGTACTTGAACGATAGCGGCTGGCCCGTCTCATTGCACGTCGGAAACGGTATATATTGTAGATTCCCATGGTCGTCGGTTATCTATCAGCAATTTCCGCGTCAGTATGCGTCTTACACCTCGACAGACGCCACCGTTGCCCGCTGAAAAGCCCATCGTTGCCCAACGTTCTTTGTGGTAGACGGCACAACTTACATGCTCTCCAGTGTCGCTGTGTCCTGTTAGTAGTGGCACAGAGTATCCCGCGGAATCAACACTCACATGGTCCTATTCAGGCAGCTGACGGGCATCAGCTCCCCTTTCGAGTAGCCCCTGCGTGGGGAGGCACCGTTGAGCTCCGTTGTCTCATCGGCGGCGGCGACAGTGACCGAAGCTGATAGATATAGGTAGAATATGGAGAGTGCGTTCAAGTACACAGATACATGACGGAGCATGGTTTCGGTCCACCAAATGGGTTTCAATGGGCGTCAAGATCTCGCTGCGCACTTTTTCGCGCGCATTTGTGGACGATCTTGGTTCGTTGGAAACTTGCCGTTTTCGTGAACCTCAGGCGCTAAAGACGGGCCGTCCCGCTGCTACTCACGCACTCACGCTCTCAAGCACTCAAGGCACTACAACTACAGGCTTGGGGCTGCTTGACGTCACAATCCCAACAGCCCCGGTGGCAATGAGGACAGAGAGGTCATAGAGAATACACGTTACAACAGTTGGAAGCTTTAGCAGTGCTTTTTATACAGCGGTACTTCGCTGCATGAAGCTCCAAGACAGGCCATGGTGTCACGGTCGCTTATAGGTTGAAGTGCTCCGATGTTGGGTTGTCCTATCTATTTCTACTATATCTGGAGTCATGGAATCTGTTATACTCTCTAAGCTACTGTCTTCCTCTGGCATTTCTAATTTCAGCAGTGTCCTCGAGAAGCGGTTTGGAAAACTAAGGTCACATGGTAGTGACGGACAAGGCCTGCTGAAGAATTCAATTTGTAAAGAGCTCGGTCTTGGTTGAACGAAACCATCAGCGAATAATAACGGCTCCTGTCTGTCCTGAACAGACTTGAGCAAGATAGACCGGGTTTGTGGTTTGGCTTGAGGGCACGAAACCTATTCATTTCTGCTCATTCGAGCCAACCTCATGAAAGTAGTTCTTACTACCAGCCGATTAGAAACTTGAGGGCGGGTTGCATCAACTTTTTGAATTCGCTCTCTAAATGTTGTCACAGGCCGGTCACAATATCCTGGCCGTTACTCTTTCCTTAGGCTTAGCATGCTCGTCCATTTCACCCTGCACATGTCTAGCTCGATGCCCCCGTACCCTTGCCTGTCTTTGTCTCGGCATGATCTTGAAGGATATGCTTCGGGTTGCTTGTGAGGTTGGCGGTTTGGTCATCTTTGCCTTCATTCTTGCTTTGCGAGTTGTCGAGCTATACGCCATAGTTAGCAAATGTGATCAAGGTACCATTGATGTTGTTTTGGCAAGAGTCGCCAGGTATGGTTTGTGTCTGGGTGCACAACCGCGAGCTAGGGGAAGTATACCTTTCCGCTGCCCGGCTGGGAGGGATGATCTTGCTGCTGAGCGCCGGTCTGTCGCTCAGGGTCTGGTGACTGACGGCCTTGGTTCGGTGCAGACATTGTGTGATAAGAGGATAAGGTGTTGTACACGATCTGTGTGCTGTGTGAGCAATGGCTTTGCTCGAGCAGATGTTGGGATTGAGGGCTTGTATGTCGACTTACTGGAATTTGGGTAGATGGATATGCGTGAGTTGGCTTGATAGACGAGAGAAAGAGAGTTCTGGAGAAGATGTGAATGTGAGAAACAGGACTCAGTATAAATGAGAAGAGGCTGCGTCCTTCGTCACCCCGCTGAGCACGATGATGATCCCGCTATGAACTATGACGTTTGATGGTTACGAAATACTGGGTCGCCACGAACCATGTCACGCCTGCTGTGAGCCTTTCCAGGCAAGGGAAGTAAAGATCCTCAATACCCTGCAAGGAATTTCTCTTGCATATCGGCATCTGAGACTTTGCCATAGAATCTTGCATTGCCTCGCTTGCTTGGTCGAGTGGTGATATTTTCTAGAATGAGTGGATCAGATGAAACCATATATTCCAGCGCGCAATCGCTTGATCTGGGTCTCTCCAAAGGTCAAAACGACGTTTCCACCATTGCCTAGATTTATATTGCACAGATATCAGACAAACTCAACTGAATCCAGCAAGCCAACAAATCTAGACCGCCATTTAATCAGTCACACAAACAGCTATCCGCCTTTTATCAGCCTTCTGCCTTCTACCTTTCAATCAACCAGAACATTCACGCTTATGACTCAAAGCACACCTGCAAATCTATTTTCCCCATCGCAAGCTTGGACTGGCGATGCCGAATGTGGCCAGGAGGCTGGCTTTGCAGTTGGGACAGCTCCGGCTCTTGTCCTGGCGAATTTTGAGCTGCACGTAGTTGGGGCACCGGCGTCCAGCCTGATACTTGCAACCTGTCTTGTCCAGCTGGTATGATTCGTAGTGACCGCACCTCAGGTTGATCAGGCGTTCGAAGCACATGGTGGCGGGGTATTGTCTCGTCCAAAACCGACTGCGCCGAAGCCGTTAATGAATGACCTGCCGCGAAACAGTGTCGCGCACTCACGTACACTTGATCTTCTAAATATTGACTTATCCAATTGGTTGTGCGTTGTTTATTTCTGCCACTGTGGGCGGTGCAGGCGATCGGCCCAGTTATCCAGGCTCTCCGCAGGCCTCACAGAAGCGATCAGTTGGAATGGTGGAAGGCTTGTTCATACTCTGGGGAATGATGGAATCAGATAATAGATGACAGTGGATGAAGCTATCGTCCGGGACGATGGCAATGTGGTGTACTTGTAGGAAAAATGTGGCAGTGAGGACAGGAGTCATTCCAGGTGGGCAGAACGAGAATTAAGCTGCTCAGGTGTTTTGGGGGGGAGGCGCAGGCAAAGATTTGTTGCGTTCGGAAGTCTTGGGTGTCTGGCACTTTGGGTCACTCCCAGAGTCCCAGCCCGTTGGCCCACCTATGCGAATCACACTGCGCCCGATGCGGCAACTTGGACCCCCCTAGCCACGATGGTCTCGCTTTGTTTGCTTGAACCATCCACTATTTACTTTGTCTGGTAGCAACAACTTAGGTGATGTTTCCCTGACCACTGAAATCCACTGTACAATTTTCAGAGGGAAAAGAGCTCAAGAACCATCTCGTTGAAAATGCCCAACTTTTCTGCCTGCAGTGGACTCGTCGTGAATTGGATGAACGTAACCACGCGATACTATTTCAAGGACACTACAGGCCTCCATCAAATGCAACGTTCACACCACTGAGACTCCACCGTCAAAGAATAAAGCATTGGGTGATAAAGCCATGTCTCCCTCCTCCCTTAGACAGCACCGGTTGGCAATTGTTGCCCGCTGGCTTGAGCAGCCTCCTTTGCTTCAGTGGTTGCTTCTGAGCTGCCCTTTGCACAGTTTGCACAGGCACAATGGCCAGGAGGACAGGGACATTTGCCCTCGGTACCTCCACAAGTGCACACTGTCTTGTCTGTGCCTTTGACGGGCTCTGGCTGAATGGCTCCGACATCGCTCTTTGCGCACCTAGCACAGTTGCAATGACCTGGGGCGCATCCACATATTCCCTCCTCGCCACCACATTTGCAAACTGTCTTGTCCGTTCCTGGGACAGGCTCTGGCTCATAATGCTTGCCTGCCTTCAGGTCTGCCAGTCTGCGGGCTTCGGTGTGCACATCTCTGACCTGCTTGTCTCCTTGTATATAGAACTGTCTGATCTTTTGCCCAGTGGGAGTCCCCAGTGCCTTTTCAAAATACGTGTGGACTCCACCCCAGGCACTCATCGCCTTGTCACTCACTCCATACTTAGTATCCACAGACTTGGCTGTGTCGGTAGCCTTGTACTTCTGGTCGAAGTTGGTCAGGGCACTGGTGAAACGATTGCTGAAACCATGCTTTTGATCCAGAGCAATGGCTCTTGAGATGACTTGGTCTGAGAGAGAGTAGCCATGAGCAAGGTATTCGGCCACAATCCTCGAACGTGGTTTATCTTCTTGCTCGATGTGGTCGTCACCGGGGGCGGACGAAACCGCGGCACCAGCCTTGGAAGCAACGTCATCGATGGTACTGGCCGCAGTTACGTGGACCTGAGATTTGCCCAGCTGGGTGCTGTCGAGGAGGAGGGCTGTCTTTGCGGCACTAGGATAACAGTGTTAACATCATAGTTGAAGTATCCTGAGGCTCCTAGACTTACGTTTCCTTCTCAAAGGTCACGGTGGCAGATTTTGCGGCGTCTGGGGCACCGGACTCGGGTGTGACAGAGATTGAGGTTATCTTGCCACTATATCAGAGGTTAATGTCGTACAACGTTCTCTGGAAAACCTGAAACTCACCAGAAGCTGAAGAAGTCCTTGACCTCCTTCTCGCTGGTATCATGAGAGATACCCTTGACATGGACGGTGGTCGACATGGCGGGGATGAATTGGTGGTGCGAAGATAGCACGTTGTTCTGGATAAGGTGTATGTTTTTGGAATGAAGTGGGTTTTGGGAGGTAATAAATATGTTTTCTTTGTCGAAGAAACCAGAAGGCTTTACAATGTTTCTTTTATGGCGTAGAGGAGATCAAATTGCAGGATGCACATGATGATCCCAGCAACAGTCGAAAAAGGTCAACATACGTCACTTCCGTCTCAACGCCCCCTCCTGCCACCCACCTGCCTGCGCCACATCGAACCACATCAGCCACACCGCCACTCTCCAGCCTCGGCATGTGTCAAGATGGGCGAATCTACTGCGAGTTACTCGGTACACAATCAGGCAACCATAAAACCGAAAAGGCCACCAAGGATTTTGTATCGCTCTACCCTCGTACGTATGGCAGACGTCGATTGAACATCATTTCTGTGATCTGGCTTCATGCTCCTCTATGGAATCGCAGCCAATGTCAAGCAATCTTACATGCCCATCAATGACCTGTCATTGACCACTATCAACTCTCAAATCATGCGGGTGTCGACACCCAACTCCAGATGATTCATCACAAGTTGAGGATCGATATAGGACCAAACTACTTGGTCGCCTTTGTTGATTTGGACTTCGACGAAGTCCTTGTTTATTTCTTGGTGGTGGTTTTTGTTGACTTTGTTTTCCTGGTCGTCGTCTCGGCAGGGACAGTGCTCGCTTTGCCAATAACAGCAATCTGGGCACACTGCTGCATTGTTATTCCCTGGTCATTTCGTCAGGTCTTATTTCTTAGTATAGGGAAGATGTACTAGGGTGCAAAACTCATGCACGGGTACTCACAGACGGACAGCAGCGATTGGCAGCGACTCCTGTGCCGCAATTATAACCGCCTGGACAAATCCCTGTATAGTCACTCGATCAGTCCTAGTCTCCTCGGACATATGGCGGAAGCATGAGCCCTACCACTTCCATCGGGACAGCACGTATCCTTTTTGGCATAGCAAAACGCCCCAAAAAATGCATCGCACAGGTTGGAATTGTCTGGGCAAATTGACCAATTTTGGACGTCCCCGGCAGAAACGGCGACGGACAGGCATAGGGCGCTGAGGGGTAAGATGAACTTCATGTTTGGCGAAGTGCTATTCGAATCTGTCTTCTCAAACAAGGGCTCAGCGAAGTATGTCGTCCAATACTGCCCTCATGGGGCAAGAGGCGCATATTAGTACCCATCACGGGTGGCAGACCAGGACAATGAATTCACCCCGAAGAAAGACAGAGAGAAGCGTGAAGCGGAATGGTTGAGGCTTTGGATAACTCGGTAAGTGGGAGAGTTCCCCGGATTAGAGGCTGAATAGCGATGTAGACAAAGGAACCCTGGCTCTGTTGCACCACGAGAACAGCTCCATCGTTGTCAGGGCCAATCTATGCCACGGAGAACAAAGAGAATTGGTCGTCTCGAAGTTCAGGATAAGCGCCATTGTTCAGATACTTGACTCGGCGGTCCGTTAAAGACGGACTACAAGAAAGTGTCCATGAAGCTTGACTGTACACACCTGCTCCATGATGGTCAAGAGAAATGTCTCGGTGTGGCTGGAAAGATGGTCTGTGCTCAGAACAGGGCTACACTCCATGGAATGGTGAGTTATTCGTGGAAACAGCTCATGGAGGTGGTGTAAGAAATGCCAATCCTAGCAGGTAAATAGATAGGACGACCGAGTAGACGGTGGGTACAGAGTACAGTGCGTTGACTCAGCCAGATGAAGACGGAGTATTGTGAGTGGCCAAGTCAATATTATCCAGAACAGGGCATCAGTTTACCTAATTAGGAAACCACCATACGGCACCAGACAGTGTCCACACCCCCACAACTGCCAGCTCTATCTAGACCTCACCGAGTACTCAACTTCCTCTCTTTGTGCCAGCAATGTGACCTGAACCGCTCTCTCAGCCGTGGTTCGCTCGCTCGCCAAGATCGAGATGCGAAAAATCCTTCGGCTTCAATGCGAATGGGAATTGCCATTTGATTCTATATTTGCATGTTGAGGAACTCTTGTCACATTACCTCTCGCGATTGCATCCGGTTTCTACGCCTCCAATGGGGTTTTGGTAGCTTAACAACCCCCAGAATGCCCGTGATTGCCATCATTATCATCATGTGTTTGGCCGCCGTGGTGCTGACTGTTGTCGCCATCACCTCCATGCTGCCAGCCTCCATCGTGGTCGTGGCTATTGTCACCATGGCTTCCCTCTTGCCATCCTCCACCGTGATCGTGGCCGTGTTGCCATTCGCCCTCGTGCTGATCTCCATTCCAACCTTCACCTCCACCTTCACCCTGCCAGCCGTAGTCATCCTGTTCATCACCGCCGAGGGTGTTACCATCATGCCAGTGCCCAGCGTGGTTCTCATTATTGCCATGTTGCCACGACTGATGCGGGTCGTTATGGTGATCATAGTGCTCGTCGTTGTCATCTTGTTCGTGGTCCGGCTGATACTCCTCATCTTCCCCGGTCGGGTAATAGTCGCCTTCTTGGTGACCTTCTTCCTCACCATAATATTCAGGGCCGTCCTCATTCTCGAAGGCGTCTTCGTCATAGTCCTCATCAGGGTCGTTCTCCTCGTCCGAGTCGCTGTCCGTGTCTTGAGGACGCGGGACTCCCAAGATGTGCTGGTGCATTCGAGGTTTGAGCTCGCTGGGATCAACATCTCCGTGGCCGTAAAACTGGCCGAAGATAGAGGCGGAGTGGTCACCGTGAAGGGCGGCTGCGCGTTCATTTTGGGGGTCAATCCTTAGGATTTGAAAACAAATGTTGGTCATGTTCAACGAATGGTGGTGAAGTCTCGATTGTAGCGTTTCATCCGGCTCTAGAGGACGTATGAGTGAGTGACGGGAGGGCTGGCGCTCGATGGATTCAACAGACTTACCTTCAGACCAGTACGATTTCTCGTATTTGCGCTCGAGCCTGTCCAGCTGGGCCTCGAGCTCCTGCAGTTTCGCCCAGGTATCTTCCCCTGCATCATCACCCTCCTGTTCCATCTCCCCTTCCTCAAGATGACCGGTCTGTCCTATCTCTCCCTCTCCAAGATCGTTATCCTGTATTATCTCGCCCGCATTAAGGGAAAATTGCCCTAGGTGGCCATTGGGGTCGAATCCCTGTCCCCCCTCGTCATATCCATGTTCCCCTTGGACAAGACCATCTTGCGCCGGGTCAAAATGGCCTTGCGCGTGGTCTTCAGGATAATAAAAGTCACCGTGCCCTTGGTCCTCTCCAAAGTGCTGTGCTTGGTGATGGTTCTCCATTTTTCCAAAAAATCGCAGAGTAGGAAGATGATGGGCGTGAGTATCCAACACCGGGCGCGAGAGATGCTTTGGGGAAGAATATGATGGACCAAGACCCTAGGCAAGGAACGGGTTGTACATGAGCGACGAAGAAATACCCGTATGAAGACTGCGCTATAAGCCTTGCTTACCCCCTCCCCCCTTGTACTCGTAGACCAGTGCCACAAGGATTCACTAGAGAAGTTGAAGCTAGACCAGAATGGCGCGTTCTGCCCCCTTACGTCTGTACTGGGGCCGCCCCCATTCGCAACTGTAGTAATGCTTCAGGTACCTGATTTGAAAAACATGTCAGCATCGGTTGGGTCCAGCGTCTTGGCCTTGATGGCTTAGTTCTACTTCAGTTATAATACCCACACTCAGCTAAAGGTGTCTCCAAGGCTGTGTGATATATTTATACATGTCTTTCTGGGACCTTGGGGGAATGATTCCCTTTGCCCCACTTGGTTCCATGTGGAATCCTTCCGGAGAACAGATCCGGAAAGAAACTACCTACATTGTAACGTCGTCTCGGTCGTCTTGGTATTCGGCAACGTCTCTGTTCCAAAAATGATAAAGACATCTTCCCTGCTCGTGGGGCGGAGGTGGACTGCCATTCCAAATATCATTACAGTCAGACCACCTCCACTACAAGCAGTTGCACAGCGAGAATACCAAAGGAATTCCTCCACTGTGATCAGGGATGGGTACATCTTGGCAATCCTCTGCCGTGGCCGGCATAACAAAATGTCGGGAGACATGCCTCGAACTATATCCAACTAGCCCAGTTCGTCACTCGCCAGTACCGACTCTTTTATATGGAGGCCCACAAGCACTCCGAATCGATCATCCGGTCAGACGGATAACCATTCATACTAGATTAGGATATATTCTAGCCACTCAAGAACTCTTATCCAGCCAATCAAAATACCAGAGATTCGAGGATTCAGCCGCCCCCTTAGTTTTCGGATTTACAGAAATCGAACATGGCCTCCACATTCTTTATACTGGGACAAGACTACCTTCTTTTTTTCCGGCCCGCGGCGCTTAAAGCATATATGAGCCAGGCTATCATCAGACTTGGGTCGGGGCTGCCGTAAGCATCCTACTCCGTTCCGTTGCCTACAGGATTTGCACGTGGCGCTCTGCTATGCCTTTTCCTGTAATATTGCACCAGAAGCAAAGGGCAATGACCAAAGACCATCCCTGGGAAAACCAGGCCTCCCTTCTCTCTCTCTCTCTCTCTTCCCCTCCCCGCCCCCGCCGGGGGAACTGCGCATCTGTGCCTAACGAGTGGTGGCTGACAATGTTACCATGAGACCTTTCCAATATTGACTAGCAGGAAGGCTTGCCCCCACGACTCTTTTAATAGCCTGACCGGGGAGAAAGCTATCTCGAAGCATAGCTGTCTTTGGTAGATAATATGTACTGCAGGTCACGACCATAAGTTGACAAATGCAACTGTGCGACCTGACAGCAGAGTCGAAAGCTCAATATTTGCCAATCCCAAAGCAAACACCACCATGTCTACATCTACCGGAGCTCCGCGTAGAGGAGCCGCGCCGACTGGGAGAGGCGGATTTCCAGCTGGCAGAGGGAGAGGCGGTGCTCCCCCTGGAGGCGCTTCGTCTACCAAGGGAAAAGAGCGAGCCCCCGCGCCGTCAGGTCGAAGATTTCTCATCTTCTGCGACGGAACCGGCGAAGTTGCACCAGAGAAGACCTCGGGCAGCGAAAGTAACCTGGCGAAACTCGCCCTCTCCATGGCAGAGCGCGGCTCCGAGGGCCAAGAGCAAATTTGTTTCTACCAGCAAGGAGTAGGCACCGTTGCGTTTACCCATCCTATACAGAAAATCAATGAAATGACCTTGGGCCAAGGTGAGTACTCGAGCCCCATGAGACGGTTACAGGCAGGTTGATACATCATAGGCCTCGAGGACCACATCAAGATCATATACAACTACATTGCTCCTCTCCCAAGCCAAGCAGCACCCTCACCTGATGATCATCCGAGGATTCAACAAGGAGACACTTTGTGTTTCTTTGGCTTCTCCAGAGGAGCAGCAACAGCACGCTTTGCGGCCGATTTCATTGCAACTGCCGGTTTCCCAGCTGGCGGTCAGTCTAGGATGGCGAATTTCGACATCTTCTTCCAAGACTGGAAGAATGCATCAGATAATAGCCGATACCGAGTTCCACAGTCCGTGAGGCTCATCATGCCCAAAGTCGAATGTGTTGGAGTTTTTGACACAGTCGAAGCCCTTGGACTGCCGAGATCCACACAGCAGAGGGTGCGCAGCGGAGTGCCCCCTACAATCCCAGACTTGTCGACAAAGGCAAAGCTCCTCCATGGAAGTATCCAGTACGGATTTCAAGCCCTTGCTTTGCATGAAATGCGCCAGGCGTTTTTACCCGAGGTTTGGGGCCCACCACGGGCACTGGGACAAGTCATCAAACAGACCTGGTTTCTTGGGAAGCATTCAGATGTCGGCGGTGGCCCTTCCTCAGCTGGGCCAAACTCCGGTCTAGCAGGTACGGCGTTCCGATGGATGATAGCGCAGCTCAACAGCATTGGCATCACAGTCGCTGCGACTGGGGGCCTTGGTGAAAACCTAGCAATTCCAGAAGAAGAAGCAGGACAGGGCCAAGTTCGAACCCAAGGCACATTCAGTGGCGGCATTCAGGGAGGCCAGGCACCGAGAACACCGGGACGATACTCAATTGGAATGGAGAAGGTCCACGAATCTGTCCGATTGCAAGGGCTGACGAACGTCAGTCAGCTACCCGACAGGCCTGCCCTTGCCGAGCTCATAGGGGAGCTACGACAAGAAGGAGGGAGGTTTATCTGGGTGAACGGAAACATCAGGATGGAAGAAGACACAGATATTGCGCCTCCAGAAGGGAGCACGACAGCTCAGGCCACAAACGCACCGCTACATCCACTGCCTAGCACCGCGAGACCCGGTGGCGGTGTGGTCCCTCAACGGCCTCAAGGGAGAGGAGGTGGAGTAAGAGGTGGAGTGAGAGGAGGTACAAGAGGAGGTGCAAGAGGTGGTGCAAGAGGAGCAGGACCATCTGGGCAAACTGGTACTTGATATAGTCTGATTGATTATGCCCAGTTCCTATGAGTATCTTGATTGGGCTTTCAGGTTACTTCGCGAAGGCAATTGGCTAGTCGCTTTGCTGAGATGGTGATCTGCTGGGCTTGGACAAGCTGATCGAGGAGTTCATAGCGTAGCCACAAGGTACGAAGAGGGAGCATTCGGTGGCCGCAGGAGGAGAGGAGGTTCAACGACAGGAAAGGAAGGGTTGGCAGACGGCAGAAGGGCGAGTAGCAAGCATTTGAGCCTATTATTTAGTAGACTTGAAATCGGAAGTAAACATGAAACACACTTACAGATGGGGGTGGGACGAACCAGGCTATTCAATACATGTAGCGAACCAAAGTATGAGTGCCTGCCCACCCAGCTGCCTATGGGTGGCCTAGTAAATGCCGAATATTTGGTAATACTGTATAAAAGGCACGTCAAAGAAAGGGCTAATTATCGGGGCAACCCGGGGCTGGTGGGGTTCATCTTTAACTGGAATTTTTGATCAGGCTTTGGTTAAAAAACAGGCACGACAGGTAAGCCGAATACCTGCCAAGGCTTGCCAAGACTTGCCAGCATGCGCACCAAGCCCAAAGTATGTGTCCCTCCACACTCCCTCGTACCGCCTCGCCGCATACGTCAATTCCAACGCTGACCTCCCCGTGCCACCGACGTAACAGTGACTGATTCTCGGGGTCCGTACCTCGCAACGTGATTTTGTATCCTCTGGCTCACGAGGGAAGGCGACACCGTTTAACCTGGGCAGACTCTGAATCTTCACCCATAAGGCGAGGCTCACCATGCCAGACACCACGGATGCAAGCCCGTCTCTCCTCTCCAGCCTATTGTCCTTACCTCCCCAGCTTACTCTCACGGCTTATCAATATTCCAACATCCTCCGACACTCATTTCCTTCATGTCGCAGTACGAAGCATGTCGTGTAGAAAAAGTCAAGGGAAAACGCACCCTGTTTGGGATAAGCTCCAGGCAAGCTTTGGAGAGGCTGGTGTGGCGGCGCCTCCCACCGTATCTGCCCGGAAACAAGAAAAGAAGCGTCACTGGCCGCCGCCTCGGCAAAAGCTTTTTCTGGGGCAACCTCAACTTGGTAGATGGGGGCCACAGGTGGGCGGATAGAGAGGCTATAAGCGCAAAAGATCTGCTGGATCCCCTTTGGTCCGTCCTTCACCCGCTGCCCCCATTTCAAACGACAGCACTGAACACCTCGGGCTTGGGAGGAGTGGGTTTTCATGGCAACATGATCCCCTCTTCTGACTGGCCTCTTGGGGCCTCCAGCGTTTTGCTAGACCTTCGTGGCCAAGGCTAATCATGCCTATTGCAGGAAACATGCAGTAAAAAGCCGCCGATTGTCCTTAGGTTCCCGACCCCGTTGTGGGATTTTGGGCCTTCTCCAACTACTCGCCTCGGTCGGCTCTCATCTTTCCTATCTATCCTAGCTGTCAGCTTTTGATATGCCTCGTACCTGAACCCTGCCATTCAGACAGGAAATTGTTTCTGCTTCGGACAAGCGCAGCTCTAGGAGATCAGTAAGCGTTTTTGAGGTCTAGTCTGGACGATCCCGTGTCCAGCTATAACCGAGACCACGAGCCAACTAATTACGCAGCCCAAGATTTCCTCCCAGCTTCGAGAAAGTTTTGGTCTCCGTTGCGCTTTGCTCGTGCCCTGTCCTCGACGCCTGCTTCCCCTTGTATGAAACCTTGATCAGAAACCATGGCGCGCACCAAGGAAGACATCGCCGACACCACCACCCTCGCGCTCTTGGGAAAGAAACAAGTCCTCAAACGGCGGTTCGGCTTCTGGTCACTATTTGGCTTCGCCGTGTGCGAGCTGATCACCTGGGAAACTGTCCTCGCGCTCTTCAGCCAGGGTTTCGACAATGGCGGCCCCGCGGGATTGGTCTACGGCTTCATCATTGCGTGGTCCAGCACGCTGTCCATCTACACCGTCATCTCCGAGCTCGCATCAATGGCCCCGATCGCCGGAGGCCAATACTACTGGGTCTACATGCTCGCGCCGCCGCGATGGAAGGTGTTCAGCAGCTACATCATTGGGTGGCTAACCTCGCTGGCGTGGATCGCCACCGTGGCGACCGAGACAATCTTCGCGGGGACAATAATCCAGGGCCTGATCATACTCGACTACAAGGACTACGACGCTAAAAGGTGGCATGGTACGTTGCTGGCCTGGCTGGTCATGGCCGTCGCCGTCTTCATCAACGTGGTGATTCCCGGGGCGCTGCCCAAGTTCGAGATCTTCATCATCGTGTTCCACATCGCGGGCTTCATCACCATCCTCGGCGTACTCTGGGCCTACGCTCCACACAACTCGGCCCATTTCGTCTTCGCGACGTCGCTCAACGAGGGTGGCTGGTCCACCCAGGGTTTGTCGTATTGCGTCGGCTTTTTGGGTAATGTTGCGACCTTTGTTGGCGCCGACGCGTCCGTCCACATGGCCGAGGAAGTAGAGCACGCGGGACGGAACATCCCCCGAGCAATCATCGCAAGCATGTGCATCAATGGGCTTGTCGGCTTCGTCATGATGCTGACAGTGCTTTTCTGTCTCGGTGATGTGGATTCCGTCTTGGAGACGGCGACAGGTTATCCATTTATCCAGATCTTTTACAGTAAGTCCCACAAATGAAAGCCACCCAACAGCAGGAAAGAACCCCAGAATACATCAATCACTTTCTTCCACGTGTCCCCCCTCCTCTCTATCCATTTCCGAAGGATAAAAGAATTGAAAAATCTCATATTGACCCGATCCTTTGGTTTTTCCGCTTCAAAATAGACAGCGTGAACTCGATATCCGGAGCGACAGTCATGGGTGCCATCGTGCTGGCGCTGACGTGGGCATGCGCGACGGGCATCACCACCACGGCGTCACGAATGACCTGGTCGTTTGCGCGTGACCGAGGCACCCCGTTCAGCAAGCCGTTGAGTTACGTGTCGCGGGTCCGCAGGATCCCTGTTGTGGGCGTCCTTGTCGTGGTCGGGCTTGCAGCCCTGCTGACACTGATCAACATTGGTTCGTACACGGCGTTCAACGATGTTATTTCCCTCACCATCACGGGGTTCTACTGCTCGTACCTTCTGCCAGCAGCATTCCTGCTGTGGCACCGCTTCAAAGGCCATATCGCCCCGCACAAACAGGATACTCCGGGCCTGGCAATTGGTGAGGACGGGGCCGTGATCGAAGAAGACGGTGTGGCGGCCACCACTTCGAAGCAGCATGAGGGAGAGAAGACCGTCACACCGCCTGAGGTGATCGGAGAGGATTCTAAGGTGCTCGAGTCCAACAATGGCGTTGGCCCCATCTACGCGGCGCCGGGTGCAGATCACACGCACGACGGTCCGCCACGACGGGCCTCGCTGGTCGCACTGCCACAGCTGCAATGGGGGCCCTTCCACCTGCCAGAGCCGCTGGGCACCATCAACAACCTATACGCGTGCGTATACATGATCTTTGTCATCTTCTGGAGCGTGTGGCCGCCCGTAACCCCCGTGGACGCTTCGACCATGAACTACAGCGTGGTCGTGACGAGCGGCGTCGTCATCTTCAGCATCGTCTGGTACTGGCTCCGAGGCCGCAACGAGTACCATGGCCCGACCATCGACGATGAGGTCGCGAGCGTCATGAGGCTGGGAAGCTTCGTCGCCGTTTGATTTCCACCACCCCTCTCAAACCAAATCCCCGGAATTTCTTCGGTACCAACTCTCTCTCGTCCACGATTGACAATTCACCCTGTGCCGCGGGACAGGTCGATGCCATTTTCCGAATCAATCGTGGGAAATGAGGAAAATGGTGATATTGGCATGCTACATGATCGTGTTTGGGCATTTACAAGAGCGGCTTGGTCGGGAGTGGGGAGAGTGGATGGAATCTGTCAAAATGGGCAGCGCGCGAGAGAGAAGAGGCACGTAGAAGAGGAAAACAAAAACAAAATACCATGTATCCACCAAAAACCAAAAAACCAACTATCGAACTGGATGACTTGGACATCACATGTACCGTAGCACTCTATCCAGAAGGAAAAAAAACTCACGTAGGCAGGCCATGGTTATGGTCATGGTCACGGGAAAAGCTGAGGAAACCAAAACTACTCCCGCTTCGTTTAGTCGTCAGATAAAAATGAACAAGCATAACGAGACATTTGAAAGGGATTCGTCAATAGAAGGAGAAGAAGAATGAGAAGAAGTAAAAGATACTGGGATGAAGAAGGAGATCCTGCAGGGATCTTTATTTATTTTTACCCCTCAGCATAGTTGTTTTTCTTTTTTCCTTTCCCAGCGCCGTGCATGTTCCGACATGGGATAAAATGTCCGTGTCCGTGTCCGTGTCCATCTCTTCTTCCCGTAGGATTTGGTGGCTCTGGTTTGTTCTCCTTGGTAGAGGTTGCCACTACCACTACCCGTACCACTACCACATGAACCTCTGGACGTTGCCCGGCTCCTGGGACCATTCGAACCCTCTGTACAGGAACATGTAGCACGTGACGGCGTTGACGGCGAGATACCACGCCAGTTCCAGCCGGGCCGACTGCGCGGCCGCCGTCCTCAGCAGCGTCTGCAGTGCCGACACTGGGAGGCGCGCCTTATCCTTCGGGGTAGAAACCTGTGTCTCCAGCTCCGATCTCGCGCGCTTCTCGGCCGACGGTGCAATGTATTCTGGCACGGCCAGACGCCACGTCAACCAGGGGACCAGAAAGTATCGAGGTTCGACGAGCGGGGCGGCGATGAGCGACAAGGACGTCGCGACGAGCCAGACGAGGATGAAGCTGACGCGCACGGCGTCGTCGCCGTACAGGATCCGCGAGGGCTTTGTAGACGACGACGACGACGTTACCGCGTCCGTCACACCGCCGAGCCTCCCCAGGACCATGCACGCGCAGAGATAGTAGACCGGGACGGCCGCGTATCTGACGAGCCAGTGTTTCCTAAGGATGGCGAAGACGTAGAATGTATAGTGTCGGTTGTCGGCGAGGGTGAAGGGGTGTATGACGGTGTTGAACTTGACGACGGCGAGCATGAGAGCGAGGAAGCTCACTGTCGTGGTTACTCTAGGGAGTCGTTGACGGAGACCGCGGAGGTCGGAGAAAAGCGGGAGCAGGACGGGCCACGAGAAGAAGACGATGGCCGGCCAAATATAGAGCATCTGGGCTAGGTGGATGGTTGCGGTGTGGTTGTCTCGGTCTCCGAGGACTACACCACCGTTCCAGACGACGAATGCGGCGAACGCGCCGAGGAGCGACAACTGTGGCCACAAGTCGACAAGAAGCTGGGGTATCATGGGAACGGCAGATTGGGCGAGAGAAATGCTTGTGATGGGAAAATCTAGAAACAAAAATTGGCCCGTCAGAGACTGATCATGGGGAAAAGCTTCAATCCGCAAGGACTTTTGAGAACAAACTGGCCAGTCGAACCTTCAAAGTATGATTCAGACACGGGAGGATCATGGACCTCACGCGCGCCCACTCTCTGTTTAACGCTTTCGATGGCCTGAAGCCCACCCAGATACACCGCGACCCAAAAGATGTTCGTCTGCCGGGCGGCCAAGGACACCAACCCAGCCAGGAGATGCAACGTCTGGTAGAGGACCTTGAGAGACCCCTGCGCGTTGGACCCTGCAGCCCAGAATACCTCACAGAGGACCACGGTGAACACGCTGAACAGATCGGTGTAATATATGCCCGAGAAGAAGAAAATCAATGGGAAGCAGATGATGCTGAACTCCCGCTGAAGAACGCTTTCATGATACACGGCCCTCCTCCCGACGGCCGCCAGAACGTATAATGCGACAAGGAACAGATACAGTAACAGCACGTTTGTAAATCTCCACTCGTTGACCGAAGCGCTCACGCCTTTTTGGGAGAAGGCATTCCGCACGGCATTGACGGAGTAGGAAAAGACGTAGAGGCCCGGCGGAGTGGTGATTTTGGGATCCCACTGTGACCACTTCCCTAGCCAGTACGCCTGAGCCTGAGGAATATGGAAGTATTCGTCGAGGTAGGGTTCCGGGACGATCTGATTGATCAGCCTTCGCCATGTCATGTGCGCCGAGGTGATGAGGCCGAGGAGCAGGACTCGCAGGAACTCCGGGCTCACAAAGTATGACATGGCGAGGTTTTAGGAGAAGAGGACGCAGGGGAGCTTCAGCAGGTAATGGGAGGAGATGAGGGGATGAAGTCCAGTGCTGAGGTTGAAGCTCGCCAGAGTCAAAAGGTGATTTAACGTGAGCGCCAAGACGCGTAATGGGAGATGTTGATGGATGGTTTAGCGCTACTTTTGCCGTTCTTGGCAAGCCAAGACAAAGCTAGTGGCATTAATGTATGCTAACTTGACTCGTTCTGGCATATGTTCGACCTACTCTATTGACAAGTCTGTCAGACTAGCAGCAACATCTACTCGGTACTTGCAGGTGACTATTCTTGGAGCATACGTAGACAGTTTGACAAAAGGCGCCCCAAAGTACCCGATACTTGTGGCCTACAGCATGCTAGAGAATGAAAACGAGAGTGAAGGTGAAACGTCTTTAGGTTGGTCAGGTGTCTTTATTGGCGCCCAGATATCGACGAGTTGGCTACGTGCTCGGTGGATGGCTGGTATTATATCGACTACACTGGCAGTACCAATGCTTAGAGAATAGATGACAATGAGGCACCATTATTCTCAAGCGTTTCCGATATCACTGGTATTAACAAACGGCAATCTTACAAGCGAATGACTTTGGGTTTTATTAGGCGGGCGCCGCTTAAGTGTAAAGTATTTCTGGCGGGTAGGGTTTGTTCTGCGGGCCATCGAATCAATTCGGCGCGTACCGCGACGAGACTGTGTCCAACTACATACTACAACCCCTGCCTCTCGACCTTTTCCAACAGTACAACTGAATGTGCAAGATACATGTCACTGATACCACCTCCTCGCCTTCTCCCCACCACGCCCTGAATGTCTGCCTTTCCTCACCCGCCTGGCCTGCTCCCCGCGGAAGTCGCATTCCTCTGCGAAATGGAGCAGGTGACGATATTACCGCGACAGCGCCTCGAACGTCTCGACTTACTGGGCGTAAGTCCCTCCCACAGCCTCTATATCAGATGAGGTGCGAAGCATGATTTCTCGTTTCTCGTCCTCATACTTACTCGTCCACCGACGACGATATTGACTCCTTTATTTACTCCGCCGCGTCTCTAGGGTCCAACCCGAGCGCTCATCCCCCCGCAGCGCACGACCCTCCCCATCTGGCTCGCAGTCCTGTTAAAGCGCCAAAGACGCGCCAACATCATGCCTCCGCCGTGGATCCTCGCAGAGAATCTGCAAGATATCCTCGACACCGAAACACACAAAGACTTTCAAGAGACCTTCTCTCCCCCGCCCCCGATTCCATCTTTGCGCCAGACAGACTACAACGGAAAGGCGTTTTATGCGTCTACACCTTTTGTGGAGGCGTGTACTGTGAACGCAAATCCCACAACGCTCCCGTATCATTGGTTCGAACTATCAGAGATACTACTGGAGGCGGCGAGCGATGATATTCCCGAGCCTGACAAAGTGAGGCAATTGCTGAGAGACATACGAGAAGTGCGGCTAGCCAAGATGCGGAAACGTGTAAAGCAATTGTCCGGTGACGGCGAAGGCACACGACTCGACGGCATAGGCGCTATGGAGATTTCTGAATCCAGAGGATTCATCACAGGTGTGATCGACGGCCTGAGGAAGATTGATGCAAGTAGGGAGCAGGAGAGGAGAGAAAGAGAGGAAGAAGAGAGGGAGGATAGGAGATATAATGATGATGGTGACGACGACGAAGACGACGAAATGACATGAAGTGTTTTTTCCAATAAGCCCGAGGAGTTATGACCGTTGACCTTGGTATAAAACATCGGGAACATTCATTCGAGCTCGTAGACCAAAGTGCATTAGTCGTCAATCCTGAAGCGCCTGCACGAGATTTGGAGTCGCAGCTAAGAAGGACTTGGGCCTTCTGCATCTTTCTCTTGCATCTTCCTTCGAGCGGCGAGAATCATTTCTTCTCTCCGTCTCTGAAGCATCTTCTGCCGTTCCTCTTTATTGCTGGTCCATCCTGGTGGCGGTGACTCTTCCTCTCTCTCCTTCCCCTTTGAGTTTACTTTGGCCTGTAAATTGTACCGCGTGATCAAATCTGGTGGTGGAGGTTTCTTGAACGGCGTTAATATAGTAGGCGTGGTAGTCGATTCAGCGGTAGTAGCCATAAACGAGGGGGGTGGTTGGAATGAAGGCGGAGCCTGAGAGATGAACCCGAGTCAGTCACTATATACTGTTGCCGCGAATTTTGGCTCCAGCAGTCCCCGGAGTCGTGCCTTACCGGATCTAAACCTCTCCCAGACAACACCCTCTCCATTGTAGCCTCTACACTGCCTCTGTTACGATGTAAATCCCACATTATATCTCTGCGGTTTAGTTGTGGGAACACCTGGGCTATCTGATCAACCTGTGCAGGTGTAAAACGGATCCCAGGAGTGGCGCCTCTGGAGGCAGTGGAGGATGTCTGAGAGCCGCCTTCCGTGGCGCCGGGACGGGATGAGAAGAAGTAGCGATAGATGAAATATCCGAGCACAGCGACAAAGGCAAGACTCGGGATTGAGATGGTCGCTTCCTCGTCGACGGCCGATGACATTTTTTGTAACGCGCGTTTGCGACACAGGGCGCTTGCTGACGGAGAGGAAATATTATGTCCTGCGTCTACGGCGAGACAGTAGGGATACCTGGGGAGCAGGGAATTTCAAGGTGGTTAAGACGGTAATGGCAAATATTAGGGGAATGCGGCGAGGTTGTGCTCAACAGGTCACCCCATGTGAGAGTCAGTTACAGTGACAAGTCGGAGGCAATGATATCAACCGCCAAGCCCGGAAGGAACAAATATCCGCCGAGGTTAATAGACCTTGACATGCTTCCTCGCCCCCTGGTAGAACATTGATTCAACGGACGTAAGAGATGAAGGACTCTAAAGGGCCTGAATATAGCTGTTTTAGAGATGATGTTTGGTTTCGAGGGGAAGAGATGTATTGATTTTTTTTGTATCTTTACCGTGACCAGGTTCCTTTCCGTATGACAAGCTTACAGGATCATTGTCCACACGACATGGACTACCAGGTATCATCATCATTGTTGTTCAAGGTCTTCCTCTCGATAACAACCCGCCTCGTCTATCAAAATCCCAGCTCACGACTTGGTAGTATCCCAATTCACCCACGTCCTGGGCATGATCCTCCAGACCATCACCTCTCCGCTTTTCAGATCTCCGACCTTAAAGCTCTCCTCTCTCACCTTTGGCTTTTTGCCCTTTTCCAGGTCTCTTCCCTGCTCCCACGCACGGATCTTCTTCTTGGTACCATCCCAATCGATGACCACAGCTACGTGCTCAGGTTTCCCGACATCGACACTATATTTTTGATGCAGCCCACCTTTGTGGCCAGAGAACTTCGCATTACGGAACGTGACAATGTCACCTGGTCGTATTTCATCAAATTGCTGTGTAGATGCGTTGCCCAGGTTGGAGTAGACCAGAGCACCATATGCTCTTGTGCCAACCGGCAGGAGTGCTGTCGGATGGGGTTTTAGGAGTTCGAGGACAAATCCTCGCGCGGAACCATCGCCAACAGTCGTGCCAGAAAGACCACTCGCCACTCTTGCGATCTGATTCCCGTACTGAACAGATGCATTTTCCAGTTGATCACGCCGAGGTGCAGGGGGCGGTCGCCCGTGGCTTTGTTCCAATGTCACGTGGGTTGGGTCTGCCGCATCGAAGCTAACATTGATGGTAGTCTGGGAATAATCCATGTAAAGCACGTAAATATCCTTTGAGATGGTAGTCCTGCCTCCACGTTTAGTAGAGGAACCAGTCTCCATTTCGTACAGAACATCAGGTCTTCCTTGCAGTGAAGGAGGTGGTACATTGGTTTGCGTCCACCACATTGAGCCCTTTGCGAGGTCAATGTCTTGAGCAATATACCCCTGTTCACTGCTTCCCCGAGCATGGTCCATTGAACGGCGAGAGAGAGTACCAGACCTTCGGAGGTCGGTACTCTGTTCAGGGATGTCTGTTGGGGGAGGAGGTGCGAGGGTCGGCGGCGCAGTATACTCCGGCTCTGGTGGTGGAGGTGGAGGTGCTGGCCTTTCTGCTGGTGGTGGCGGTGGTATAGCAGTTGTTTTCGGCATTGCACTGTACATGTCATCTTCCTCGAGCTCCTCTCTGGGTGATTGCAGTGATGTAGAATATGGCATTTTGGTATGAAGAGAGGGCGGAGGATGCTGAGGTGCAGTATATCGATACGGATCATAGTCGTCGTCTTCGCCCACCTTGGGAGGTGGAACTGGCGGAGGAGCTGCCCGCGGGGCATCCATAGACCTTCTACTCTTCGGCGTTGGCAAAGACGGTGGCGGTGGTGGCATGTCTCGCGGAATACTAACCGGAGGCAACGGAGGAGCAGCTCGTGTGGGAGGGTGCTTCGGAGACTTCGTATCGTCCGTGAGGGCGCCTTCATCAAGGCTTGAGTCACGATTGTGAGCCTTCAACGCATCTTTGTGCTTTGCACTCGAAGCGATATCTGTATCGTAGTCTCCGTCATATTCCGTAACTTCCTCCTCGTCATCCGAATCAGGCTTAGGAGAATGCATGGTGCCAAAGCCGCGGGAATCAGTCGTTGAACGGCGACTTGGTGGAGCGCCTGGCGGCGGAGGAGGAGGAGCTCTGGTCTGGGGAGAAGTCGGGCTCATAGGGATAGGGGGCGGGAGTCGTGAAGCGCGTTTATCAGCGACTGGAGAAGTGGAGCTCTCAACAGCCTCGAAGACCGAATGCTCAGGTGGCCTGGCTGGCGGCATTGGAGGAAGCGTAGGCGCGCTATTTGGAGTTTCTAGCGCTTCCTGGCTGTCCTCTTCCGGAGGATCGTGGTCTTCGTCCTCCTCATAACCAGGTGCTTCTGCCGACGCTTGCGGTAATGATGGGGGAGGGGGAGGTACGGATCGAGCTAAGAGATTCAGTAGGTTTCCGGGATGCAGGTAGTTCTCACATACCGGTGGGTGATTGCGGAACTGGAGGAGCTGCTCTTGGGGCCGATGGGGGAGGAGGAGGAGCACCTCTAGTGTCACGTAGTGGTGGTGGAGGAGCAGCGCGATCTACAGAATGTGAGTGGGCAAGTCGCTTTAGCATCCAAAAGACGTACCTTGTGGAACCGGCGGAGCGGCACGGTCTGTCGAGCGACGTTGTAAGGGCTTCGAAACATAGTCTTCGCTTTCTCCCTGAACACCAGGTTCTTGCGGGGTGGGGCGTGCAGTCTCGTCGTCGTTGTCGCTTTCTGGCGACGCTAGAGGCTCGTCTTGCCGCTTGGGTATTGGAGACATCCCAGGCAATGCCATGATCCGTACTGGGGCAACTCGTTCTTGTGGCTCTTCCTGCGGATGGCTCTCAGAGGACTGCCGAGAAGGCTCTGATTTTGGCTTCCTCGCAGCACCAGGTAGTCCAATGCCGCCAGGAGGGCCGAACATGCCCATCATGCCCATACCTCCGCTCATCTTGGCCATTCTATCTCTGAGCTCTCTTCTGCGGCGGATTTCCGGATCTTCCTCCTCTTCCTCTTCCTCTTCACCTCCTTCTTCCTCTTCGGCTTCAACCTGTTGGCCTCGGTCGTCATCTATTGATTTTCTAGGAGCAGCTGCTGGGACGGGTATTTCCGTGCCTTTGGATTTTGGGCGCTCTTCCTCGGTGGATGTTTCTTGAATGTCATCGTCATCTGCAGCTCCTGAATCATCGGCGTCATTCGTGTCACTGACGAGCTCGCGAGAAGCTGGTTGTGGCGTGCTGAGGCCTGTGGTGCGGCGAGGGAGACCCACAGGCTCATGTTCTCCTTCAGCCACCTCGGCGGATGGGCGGCCTACAGTCTCATTGGAATCTAGTCTCGTCAAAGTCGGCTCAGGCGGCTGGCTCTGTTCACTGGCCTCTGTGGATTCGACTCTTTTTTTGGGGGGTTTCTTGGGTTTCTCCTTCTTCTCAGCATTCCGAGCCGCTTGTTCCAGCTGCTGTCTTTGCAAAAGTGCTATTCTTTCTTTGAGGGACTGGGGCTTCGGTTGCTCTTCCGCCCCAGGCTCTGGTTGTGTCACAGTAGATTCCGCCAGATCCCTGGATTCCGATCCGTTCACACTCGCATCATCCTCTCGCCGATATGGTTTTTGGATGGGAGGTTCTCGGTGAGGTGGAGGCACGAAAGCATTCCTGCTAGGAGGAGGCGCTACAAACGGCTTTCTGATGAAACCACTGCTTGGCCCACCACCACCGGGCTTGAAAGGGGCAATTGGTGCGGCAGCGGGTTTGTTGAAGGCAGCGATCCTGTCTCTGAAAGAACTAGATGATGGTTTTTCTGCAACAGGTGGAGGGGCACGGGTGGCCGCGGGAGAAGTTGGGATGGTGGTCGGGGCGGTGGGAGCAGCAGGTTGAGGCTTCGGGGCCGGCGGAGGTGCTTCAGGCTCTGTTCTTGCCGGTTCCGCTGGCTCTCTTAGTGATTCTTTCTCGCTGTCATGCACAGGTTCGGATATCTCTGTTGGCGGAGGGTGTGGCTCTGGTGCGGGAGGCTCTGGGATACGCTCGGACGGCTCTGGAACCGGTGCACGCTTCGAAGCACGCACAGGGCGCGAAGGGACTGTCGGTTCGTACTTCTCGACAAAGTTCCTTGGGAACAGGCCTTGGAGCTTTTCCCCCGAGGCATCCACGTATTCCCCAGTATACCAGTCCGCGTCCTCCTCTTCTGTAACCGTGATTATCTGGCCATTATCAAAGTTTAGATCATCAGGCTCGTCTGATCTGTATTCGAAGATCGCCTTGACCTTGAACGGTACCGCAGGCATCTTGTCTAGAGGAAATGCTCCTCAAAGATCAGGAAGGAGGTGGGTTCGGGCGGAAGGTCGAACTTTCAATGATCTTACTTGACCAGCACGGTGACGCAGCGCCTGCGCCACCTCGCTTGAAGATCGGTGCCAAGGTCAGATTGAGACTTCCTGGTGAGTGATTATTAGATCACATGGACTTGCAAGAGAAGAATGCACGCGTGGAAAGACGATATGAGCTGGAACAGGTGTGGTGGACAGGAGACGTTATTAAGATTGTGAGAGAATGTAGACGACTTGAACGTGGGGCTCCTAGTTTCTCGCAGGCTTATTACTTGTACCTCGTAGGCTTCACTATTTACTTTTAGCCTCGTTACTTAATCAAGCCGCTTTGCCTTCGCTCTGAGTATTTGCCGCAGTCATCTCTGTCTACCGTGTCACAGGCTCATGTTTCGTCCTTTGTATCAAAGCAAGGCTGTCAGGACAAACTAAGAGCCCACGCTCTCAAAAGGCACCCACACCCATTATTTGCGCCTTGTATTGTTAACATACTTGGAGCATGGCCTGCGATGGCAACTGAGCAATCTGAAAGCAACAGAGAAGATCGCATTCGCTCGACTGCATTACGCCATGCCAGAGATATCGAGGAGAGGAAGAAGCTACAGGCACGCATAGCAGACCTAGTAGTCGAAGCTTTTGACTTGCCGTCTAGACCTGACGCTGACCCCGCAAAACCTCAACCTTCCGATGCTTCTCTCTTTCGACACTGTCTGGGCCTATTTCAGACCTCGGATTTCGATGATCTCGTCTACGAGCGAAATGTAGATAACCGATGCGGCTACGCTCTCTGTCCAAGACCAAATCTGAAGCTCACACATGGTGGCCAAAAAGTCTGGAATCAGAAGGGTGGGAAGGACTTCAAACTTGTCGATAAGAGCGAACTGGAAAGGTGGTGTTCCAAAGCCTGTCAAGAAAGGGCAGCCTTTGTGCGTGCGCAGCTTGGGGCGGAGCCCGCGTGGCTTCGAACTGGCCAGACCCTCGATATCAGGCTGCTCGATGAAGTTGATTCCGAGAGCCTTGCCTACCCATTCAAGGTAATCGCAACTGAGATTCTCTGCAAACATCGAGTTCTGGAGTTATGTCTGCTAAGTTCTTGCAGGGGCTCTCGCTCGCCGAAGCACCTGATGCAGAGATTGCCGAAAGGATGCAAGCCCTTGCGCTTGAACGTGGCGAGTTGAAGGTCAATGCCGACGACAGCGTCGTGGATCTCATTGAGAGAGATAGCGACGTGATACCGAGTGCTCCAGCACTTAAAGGGCACCAACCGCAAAATACCATCGAAGGACACCAAGCACGAAAGGTACGGTTTTCCGAGAGATGACTTTGGTCGCCATGAACAAGACCGCACCACTCAGGTTCGCTTTGAGAGTGCCGTGAAGATCAACTCTCATCAAGTAGTTGACGATGGAGAAGACATTTCCACAGAGTCCCAGACCACGAAGCTCCGGATCCACCAGAAGGTGCCGCGTGTAAAACACAAGGACGACATAACTTGGAGCAATCTTGTGGCATCTGAAAGACGTAAATGATCGGACGAGAAAAGGAGTATATCGACGACAGTCATTGCTGGGCCTTCGCCATACGGCGAGTGGCCTTTGGTATGTTGTACCAGAGATATCTCATTCGTTTTTCTCGAGGTTACCGACCAAATGCAAAATATGCTCTTTCAAGTGGCTGTCTCTCATATTCCCATGCCAACCAATCGCTTCTCGTCGTAGGTAGCAGTCCCATACTGTTGACTTTATAGACGCCCAGACCGAGCAGGAGACACTGCATTAGGACATATACCGCCTTGACCCCCAACATCTGTGTACGATTACCAGCGCTCTCGAATTTGGCGAACTGTGTGTTGGTCTGCGAGATAGCCTGGATAGGGTTCTTGAAACTGAAAGTAATTATCAGCATCGACGACTGCAAAGTAAGACTGGCACACTGACAGCATAAACACCATCATAATGGAAAATATCTGGAGCGAATTGCCCGACATGTAGCCCATAATAGCTTGCATGGGAAGTTGCTTCGCAGGCCCAAGTGCAACCTCCCACGCTTTCTTGAGTTTGAGTGTTTCTGTTTCTTCGGGGGTCGGTGGTTTTCGTCCAGGAGGTTGCGACTTCTATTGGAGTTGTCAGCGAGTGTAGATTGTGGGTGGTATATGGGCTTGCGGACCTGTTTCCCAACCGCGGCCCTGGAGCCTGAAAAGCCGGGAGGATCTGGGATGCTGGATATATTCTTGGGTCTAGAAGGGACGCCGTTGTTGAGGTCAACAACCCATTTCGGCATTGGAGGAGCCATGCTGTCTGAGGTCGCCATCACAGGAGGAGGTGTGGTACGCAACGATGCAGCGACGAAGTCCCTCGTCGATGTAAAGTTGTTGGACGCTGACGGGACTCGGAAAATGGAAACTCCGCCAACCCTTGGCGTGAGCGGCGGCTCCAGGGGGGACACACCGCGCAACGCCTCCTCAACGTCCTCCCTCCTCATCGACCTCCAGTAAATCTTACATTGATTACCTACCACTTGGACATTGTCACTGCCTTGAATCTCTCTGGTCAGATGTCGTTTTTCTGAAGATCATGCCGTAATTTGAGCCTCGAGCCGCTGGATCCAGCAGCAATATCGTCAACTGGAGTGACAACGGAAGCCTCCAACTATTGGGTTGAGTCGAGATTGAAAAGGTCAGGATGTCGTCCGGACATGGAGACTCAAAGCTCTTTGCCAGGGTATGCCAATCTCTTTAGCAGCAGGGCCTTCCCTTCTAGGCTGTGTCTGTCACTGCCTCCTTCGCTTGTTCCCATATTGCCGCGGTGTTCAGCATCTCCCATCTCACTCTCATTCATCGCGGTATTTGGAGTACGTCTGCTGGGATTCCAAATGTTCCATGCTTCATGTATCATATGTGTGATAACGTGAACTGAACAACCGGCTTCTATGAGATCCACAGTACATCATGCCTTTAGCCGCAATGCCCTGTGCCTCTATATCTCTGTCCCGTCGCTCACACTCATAAACAGGGCAAAGTGGCCGAGCTGCGAGCGGAACTCACAAATCCTGGCAAGAAAGACAAGAACCACACTACTAAGAAAAATGCTCTGAAGAAAATCGTCGCCAATATGACCATGAGCAACAACGACATGATCGCACTCTTTCCGGATATCGTGGCTTGCATGGATATCCCTGTCCTCGAGATCAAGAAAATGTTTGTCAAAGTGCGCCTGTCGCAGATATCCTGCTAACCCACGTACAGGTGTTTTTTGTACCTTCAGCACTATGCTCGCATGAAACCCGACATTGCTTTGCGAGCGTTGCCGGTGCTGGAAGAGGTGGGCAGGCCGCATTGCAGTGACGAACTTCCTGATACTGACGTATTTAGGATCTTCTGGACCCGAACCCTTTAATCCGAGCACTTGCACTGCGGACTATTTCGTATGTTCACGTTCGCGAATTCGTCGAGGGTACGATTGCCCCACTGAAGAAATTGATGTCAGACCAAGATCCCTATGTCCGGAAAACAGCTGCCATTACCGTGGCCAAAATCTACGACCACGACAAACGACTGGTCGAGGGGTCAGACCTGATTGACAGACTCAATAGAATGCTCAAGGACGACAACCCCACTGTTGTCGCAAGTGCGCTTTCTTCGTTGCAGGATATCTGGGAGAGGAGTGATAACATTAAGCTGACGATCGACTACGCAAGCGCCTCCAAAATCATTTCTATCTTGCCGGACTGCAATGAATGGTCCCAAACCTACATCTTGGAAGCACTAGTGTCCTACGTTCCACACGAATCTGGCGAGGCCCTCTTACTGGCAGAACGAATATCATCTCGGCTCTCGCACTCGAACTCTGCTGTGGTTCTTACCTGCATTCGGGTCATTATGTACCTAATGAACTACATCTCCGACAAGAAGAAAGTCGACGAACTTGCCCGCAAACTATCCCCGCCACTCATCACTCTCCTCTCTAAACCGCCAGAGATTCAATATCTCGCCCTGAGAAATGCTATACTCATCCTCCAACAGCGGCCCGAGGTCCTACAAAACGACATTCGCGTGTTTTTCTGCAAGTACAACGATCCGATATACGTCAAAGTGACAAAACTCGAGTTGATATTCATGCTAGCTAATAAGAGCAACATTTCAGTGGTTCTTAACGAGCTGAGAGAGTACGCAACCGAGATCGATGTCCAATTTGTGCGCAAGGCCGTTCGAGCAATTGGAAAGCTTGCAATCAAGATTGAGCCGGCGGCGCGGCAATGTATCGACGCACTCCTAGAACTTGTTAATGCCAAAATCCCCTACATCGTGCAAGAGGCGACAGTGGTCATCAAGAACATTTTCCGCAAATATCCGAACCAGTATGAATCTGTCATCTCAACCGTGATCGGTCAGATTGATGAATTGGATGAGCCCGAGGCAAAGGCTGCGATCATCTGGATCATTGGAGAGTACGCCGATCGAATCGATAACGCCGATTCACTCCTACAAGATTACTTGTCGACATTCCACGAAGAGCCTATCGAGGTTCAATTGGCGCTCCTGACTGCGACTGTGAAACTCTTCCTTCACCGACCCACAAAGGGCTCTTCCATAGTTCCGCAAGTGCTGAAATGGTGCACGGAAGAGTCAGATGATCCGGATCTTCGCGACCGCGGATATATGTACTGGCGCCTGCTATCGACCGACCCAGTGACGGCGAAGAAAGTCGTCATGGGAACGAAGCCACCCATTACAGCTGAGAGCGAGAAGCTGGACCCAACAACCCTGGAAGAGCTATGTCTGGGTATCGGCACCCTTGCCACTATCTATCTGAAACCAGTACAACAGGTCTTCCGGTCTGCACGGACACGCCGACTTCAGGATTCACCAGCCTTACAGAGAAAGAGAGAAGATCTGAACCGCGCCCTGACCGGTCTGGATCTCGCGAACCCTCTATCACTAAACACAACCGTCACAACTCCAGGCGGTACGCCCGTGCCCAATCACCAAGCTGCAATCGAAGCCGCCGACGACTATTTCAAGAACTTGAGCCTGAGTGACAACACTGGGGGGGATATCCTGACTAGCCCGACTGTCGGAGGCGTGGGAAATCCATATATCGTCAGCCAGAGTGCACCGCAGCACAGTTTCCATCCGCAAACGAGTGTCGCCAACGACCGGGATCTCCTGTACTAGCATTACAGGGAGGAAGAGACTGAAGACGGTTTGTATAGCGCATGAGCGACGGTGGTTTATGTATTTTGGCGCCACAACCGGGAAAGGCTGTAAACGCATGCGGTAGAACTGTAATGCGTGGGGATTTTAATTGATTCTTCGATCCAAACATCATAAATCTGCCATGTCTAGAGAGCTGCGATAATACTGCAGGTGTCTGAACTGTCAACCCAGCGTAGTAGTCTGTGTGCATCTATCCTTTGCTGTGCACAACCTACAGTAGCTGTGCCATATCGGGCTCCGCAGCCGACGTCATGACCGATTCGCTGTTCTCCAAAAGACGTTTTTGGAATTCTGGCCACTCACTCCACATCGAAATTCAAAAGCACAGGTGTGGCCTCCGCGAAAACGGGTCTACTGGACAGCACACTCGCTTGCAGTGTACCAAGTACAGCACACAGGACAAGCAACACGACCACGACATCCTGTCAGGAAAGGAACCCGCTCCGTTTTCATTTCCTTTTTTCTTTCCCCGGTCTCCCCTCATGATCGCAAAGTGACAGCAAGACCAAAAACCGAAACAGCAGTGTGCGCGGCACTGGCGCAATCATGGTCTCCCTCCTCGTCACGGTCTTCATAATTCAACTGGTCTGCCACCTCGTCCTCACCATCGGGTCCAAACCCATCAACGACCTAGTACGTCGAGCCTGCTCTTCTTCTCCTCGACCTCTTGTTTCCCCCCTCCACTGCTTCCTCTTCGGCTTGATGGGGACATACATATCAGGTTCCAGGCGACGGAGAAGCGCTTGGGAGTAGGAAAAGACACGATACAAGCCCACAGCCCCAAGAAGGAAGGGAGAACATGATACTGGGACAAGTTTTTTGCTGACATTCCCAACCTCCCGCGCACTATTATAGCTATGGCAAATCTACTGCCGCCTCCCGTTCCAGTCGTCCGCGGACATACAAGAACAGACGCGCCTGCGTCGCGAGGTCCTGCGGCTGAAACGAGAGATGAACGCGGTCAGCGCGCAGGACGAGTTTTCCAAGTGGGCCAAGCTGAGGCGGCAGCATGACAAGGCTATGGAGCAGCATGACAAGAAAGGTGAGTTTTGTTGGTGAATACACATTTTCCCCCTGTTTGCTGGAGGAGGTTGCGAGATGCTGGCGACCAAGAGGAAGAGGAGGAGGAAGAGAGGTGGGGAGGGGTGTATGTGTGCCGTTTACAATCGGGACTTGGATCCAACTTCTATCATCATTGTGTCCAGCCAAAGAAGAGGGTCAAAGACACAAAGGCGCCCTGCGTCCTCGCTCTCTCTACTCATCCCTCTATCTATCCATCGTGACTGACAGAAACATTTTTACCGTGGTCGCCAGCCGCCGCAGTTTCTTCCTCCCGCTCCTCCTTCGACACCAAAGCCACGGCGATCCGATGGACGTGCACCAGCGGCCTGCGCCTGGCGCTGCAGTTCTGGCACGCAAAGACGCCCGTCTTCACCTACCCGCGCGGCTGGTTTCCGTGGTATATCGAGTGGCTGCTCGGGTTCCCGAGGTGCCCCTACGGAGGCGTGAGCATCAACGTGTGGAGCACGGCCTGCGCGACCGTCATCGCGCTGGTCTGGGACGTCCTGGTCTACCTGATACAGAGCGCGCAGCGAGGACAAACAGGCACGGAAAAGGTGAATGGCGACAGAAGGAAAGAAGAGGTGCACATATGATGACAAAACATAAACAAAACTGTTTACAGGGGACAGGGCACAGCCCAGGTCCGAGTAGATACGATATGATACGAGTGAGGTACATTAGCAAGTCATCATAATAACATGAAATGCCCATTCTCCATACACCCTGCACACAACTATACAAACACGTCAAGGCTCAAGGATTCATTCATCATCTTCTTGGCTTGGGGAGCGTGGTTCCATCAGAAAAGTATTCAACCATGTTCGCGTCACTGACCGAAGCCATGCTCGCGTGGAGTCATGGAGGCCTAAGTGCTTGACTCTATTGTGATTGAGAGTTCATCATCGGAAACCAACCCGCTCACCACAGCCAAAGCTCCTTATCATCGCCATTCTCGAGGAAACCCAACCTCCGGTGCTGTTGTTCTCGAAGCGTAGGGGTGCTTATTCATGAGAAACTGCCGCGAAACACAGCACACCAAATCAAAGAGTCCGGTCCGTTCGACAGGACATCTGCACCATCGTGGAAGACGGTCGCTGCTTTCCATAAGCTACAGACCCAAAAGATAGTGTTGCTCCGCGTCTCGAGAATAAGCCCCATCGAGTTACCCTCCATGACCCAACTGCTGCAAGCACAGCAATTGAGGGAGAGGGCAATCGCATAACTTTCGACATATGACGAATTGCGCAACCTCCAAAAATCACTCTTTTGAACTCCCCAAGTACCCAAACTGACCATCAAGCTCCCAATGTTATAGACCCTCTCCATCTCTTCCCTTCGCAAGCTCGAAAAGTCCGAGTCCTCTCCGTTTCACGAAATGAAAAGAAGGGGGAAACCTGTCTTCACAGCGACGGACTCATATCTTCATCCATCACCCAGACAAATATCTTCCCTCAATTCATTTCCACATCGAGACCCCCAAACGAAACGGCTCAGAAGAGAATGCAGACGACAGCGAGGTCGGAGATTGAGGGACAGCAGGTGACTCGGAGAAGAGAGGGAGGCGAAAGAAAAAGGATGTTCAAGAAACAAAGAAACCGCAGTGAAAGGTTGCTTTTATGGCGGTTGCCTTTCGGCAGGTCCTAACGTTCTCTGACTCTCCGAAGAGAGCAGAGGTAGGGCGGTCCGGGGACTTTCTCCCAAAGCTGGGCCTTTTCCCTGTGTGGGGGAATGGCGACTAGTTGGTCTGCAGATATCTCAGAGGAGACTTCTGCTGTGCGTGAGCTTTGAATGCGATTCTTCGAACGCGGAGACTGATGAAACACAAGGGGAAAAGAGGGCGAGAGATGCAGCAGCAGAGCAGTTAATGAAGTTTGGGGCGGAAGGAAAAATATTTGCCAAGATCACACTAGTCCCGAAGCAGGTGAGGTTGCGCAGTTGAAGCCCTTCGACACCTTCTCCGCTGCGCGCAAGTTGCCGAACGTCCGCCCTTCCTGCCACTTTAACAACCTTATCTCGGTTTTTTTTTCGTGAGAAGAACCTTAGCATTATTAAAGAGGTCTTCCAGGTGAAAAGACACATCTCAACGTGGTTTGAGGTCTTGGGAGTCTGGTTATATATCATGAATTGAACGCGGGGAACAGCACCACTGAGATCACCCGAGCTTTTTCCTGCATATCAATACAGTGAACAAATCACTCCCAAGCTGGATTGAGACCCGAAAGTTTCTCCGGTCCGCAGATTAGCTCAACAGCAGCAGCAGCAGAAGAAGAAGCTCGTGCTGAGCGTGACAGTAATGATGAAGATGCCGACTCCTCGTCAAGGGCTAAAGCCAGTATTGGCGACGGCCTTCGCGCAAACAAACAAAGGGCCATCTCTCCGACCAAGGCGCGAACTGAGCTTTCTGGTCACATCATCTTCACCATCATCGCCACGGCATCCCGTTCGTCGCCATCTGCCTGAGTTGATACCCATACCAATTCCCAATCCACAAACCACACCAACGTTCCCATCGTCGGGCCTGTCCCATGCACAGCGGCGCCTTGCCTCGACCAAACCGGAGCCGGAAGCAGAACTCAAACGTACGCCTCTGTACGACCTGCACGTTTCGCTCGGGGCCAAAATGGTACCCTACGCTGCCTATGCCATGCCAGTCACATACCCGGACCTCTCGCACAAGGACTCCCATCTCTGGACACGCCAACACGCCAGTGTCTTTGACGTCTCCCATATGGTGCAGCACAAGCTCTCCGGGGAACTCGCCGAGGAGTTTCTCATGACAATCACTCCATCAGCCATCAATGAGATAGAAAAGCACCGCTCGACTCTATCTTGCCTTTTGAACGAGGAAGGAGGCATCGTCGACGATACAGTCATCTCGAGGATTGGTAAAGATAGCTTTTACTTTGTGACGAACGCAGGCTGTCGAGAGAAAGACATTGCCTATCTCGATCAGCATATAACGAAGTTTCTCAAGGCAAAGGGTGCATCAGGAGATAAGATCAATTGGCACGTCCTTGACCACCATGCCCTTCTGGCACTTCAAGGCCCCGAGTCTGCAAGCTTGCTCCAGTCGCTTATATTTAATGACACGGACGACGACAGTCTCGACACGTCACTGGATACACTATACTTCGGGTCAAGTCGATGGTTGCAACTGACCCTACCTGACTCCGGGATGAACACTCCCTCTCTCCTCATTAGCCGCACTGGATATACAGGAGAGGATGGCTTTGAAATTTCGATCCCGCCCGAAAACGGAGACGCAACCGAACTGGCAACGAACATAGCCAAAGCTCTCACCGCCGACAGCTCCAAAGTCCGCTGGGCGGGGCTGGGTGCGCGTGACTCGCTCCGCCTAGAGGCAGGGATGTGTCTCTACGGGCATGACCTAGATGAGAAGATCACGCCGCCAATGGCGGCTTTGGGTTGGTTGGTCGGCAAATCTCGCCGGGTCGACAACCCCATACCAGCCTTTAATGGCCATCAAATTATCAACAAGCAGCTCGCGTCGCCAAAGACCATGCCTGAGCGACGAGTTGGCCTCTTCATAGAAAAGGGTCCCGCTGCCCGCGAAGGGGCAGAAATCGTCGATCCGGAAAACAACAACCAGGTCATTGGTCACATCACCTCTGGTTCTCCCAGCCCCACCCTCGACGGACAAAACATTGCCATGGGGTATATTAAGAATGGATTCCACAAAAAGGGGACTCCGGTCGGTGTCAGAGTTCGAAAGAATGTGAGGAAAGCGGAGGTCGCTAAAATGCCATTTGTGCCAAACAAGTTTTACTCTCGACCCTCGTGAAAGATTGTCCAGGAGGCTCTCTACTCGGGAAGGTCGTGGTGGGCCAATCTCTGCGGCTCCACAGCAACAGCGGTCAAGGGGAGTAGGTTGGTGACTGTTTGCACCTGTTTTCACGGAAAGGACATGGGGATGAAGATGGGCAATGTGACAGGACGGTGTTCCGGCTCCTCTCTAGGTACGAGTAGATCTTGTCACACCCTGATCGTCGGCTGTTGTCGATCCTTTTGGGTAACAACAGCAACGAGCGGTATTCTGGCACGGAACCCTGGCCTCACCAACCCCCCCTGTTGGGCTTTTTAGTGTTCATTTTAGTGTGTCTTCTCCGCGACGGGGTGCTTCTTTTCGTTTGCCTCACTGCACCAGTGTATTTGAGTCGCCGTCTTCGTATATGCATGCAGCTGTTTGCTAGTCGTTTGACTAGCCCTAGCCCGACGAGGCCCCGTGATTTAGCGTATCCGAGGTGATTGGGGCCGAGACCTGCGTGCGCACATTATTGATCACTGCATGTCTTCGCAGGGTTTTCTCCCGCCATTTCCCTGTTTCGAGCGCCAGAGGCGTTCTTGGGCTTTGAGTGGTCGCCTGAGCATTCGCGACCAGCCGCAAGTGTAGCGCCGTGCCGGATGGTGACTCGTCCCTGGGGGAAAGACTGTTGACTCCAGGGCATGCAAAGTACGAGTCCCCGGAGTGCAGGTACCGGTGTGGCATGCTATTCCAGAGGACGCTAATCATGGATCCGAAAACCCGGAGCAAGCAAGGTTTGGGGCTAATCTTGAACTTTGGCACCTCGTTCATCGTCGCCCACATGGACTAGCAGAGGGTCGGTCAGTGGCGGTAAAGTGCGGTTCCCGGCTTCCCACGCGTGTGATGGCCCCCTCGATGCTCGAGCAGCTTTTGGATAAGTTTCCACGGATGGCTTTGGTGGAGCTGTAGTGGGCCCCCGACTAGCAAAAGGAGCTGGCGTTTTTGCCTATTTTGACGACATTTCGGTGCTCCGGGTCCCATCCAATCCGCATTCTGTACCGGGTAGAGGTAGACCAGTCTAATCGTCGATTGACTGGAGGATGGGCGGAATTTAAAAACCGCTTGCTGGGAACCATGGTGAATTCGTGACTATAGCCAAAGGGGCGTGGCCCAGACCTTGCACAGCCCATGGCGGACCTCACCGACCGACTCATGAGGTCATGTACTTCGTGTTTCGGATCAATGGGCTGGTCCTTTGTGACTTGTCTCGATGGATCCGGTAAGCCACCCAGGTAGCTATTGACCAGCTAGCCGCGCACCTCTGTTGCGATTCCGCATGCGTTCTCACTGTTGCCCTGTACGTCACCTTCCGCAAGCAAGAAATACATACTCGGTACTCTGCAAGCACTAGTGTCCATCTCCAGCTGGTCCACCAGAGTTGTGGCATGATTTTGTGTCGTGCAAATATTTCCCACACGGATTTGGAAGAGCTGGAGAGGTATCGGTCGGTGGATATCCCGGGTTTTCCTCGCGTTGCTTTGCCGGTGGCTTATCCTTCACTCCCTGGCCTTTGAGAGTTCCTCCCAGGCGACAATGCATCATCAAATGAGCGTTAGGGGACTTGTCTCTAGGCTGCTTGCAAATTTCCTTATCTGGTTATTTTCCAGGGCGCAGAGAATGACCAATTGCCGAAGCCACTTTCCCGGAAGGAAACGACTGTGGAATGCTCTGAACCACTGAACCAGCTTGCTGGTGGGTTTCCATGCGAAGATGTTTGATGACTATGCTGATCGTCCGAGGGCCCGGGCTGCTCGTGCCATTGCAGAGGTGTCCACCTCCCACAACAGGGCCTAGTCACCAAGCAGCCCAACCGGGGGAGAATACGAGAGCTCAAAGACTGGCTTGCTGCGCTCTGCACCTTCTATTTGCCCTGCTTGGCATCACTTTCAGCTGGATCCTTTGGCATTACCCCTTTAGCTCGGTTGGATTGTTCCAAGGGCCAGATGACTTAGCTCTTTTTGTAATTTCTTTGGGCCTTCTTCCAGGATGGTAGACAAGAAGCGCAGGTCGAAAGACGTCTCCTGAGATGTGCAGCGCGTCTTTATTTGCTCTCTGCTCGCCGTTAACACCCGACCAGGCGGGGTTCGATCCGCTTGGATTATCATGGATGTTTTTTTCTTCCCTCTCGCTCTGATGTCCGCTCGATGATGGAGGTGGCTGTTGGGCTGAAAAGAGGCGTGCAATCATCTCGTAGGGCCTGCCCGAGTGACAGGCGCCACCCCTGGTCAAGCAAGCATCGGCTAGGATTCGAATGGCGGCTCGTTCGCGAATTAAGCAGGGGACACACTGGGAGCGGACCCAGAGTCTTCGAAATCAATCGAGTCTAAGAGCCCTGCTGGGGGGTCATGCCACCTCGAACACGCAGCTTGAAATCCGACAGATATCACTGTCGCGTCCCAAATGGCGGGGAAAGGGGGTCAGGTGGTACACTGGCTGCGAGGTAGCTCGGGAGGGTAAGACTGCAGGACAAGGGCACAAAGAAACCTTGATGGCGATTGCGCTTGAAGTGGCTGGGAGAGAGAGGGTGATGGAGCTTGAGAGGTGGAAAAGAAATGGATTCCTCCATGCCCATGACCCTAGCAGGTTTCCAAGTTCACTTTCCCATCCCTTGGTACCATCCTTGAGTAAGTCCATGCAAGACCAAAAAGCCTCTGTTCCGCCACTACGACCTGTTTATCTCGCCAATGTAACGCTATGCTTCCTGGAAAATCGATCGAGGTCCAGCAATTGTGCATGGGAGAAACAGTACCGAAAACCTGTAGAATCATAATAATGTAACTATATGCTGTTTCGTATCATCACGTCGTTCTGAAGGCATAAATCTCAGTCCGCAGTGTCGTATCTTCCAGTGGGATCGCCTCATGGTAACCAGTCCCTTCCAGTAGCCTCTGGAATGTCCACTTATGCAGCCCCTTCTTTGTATCCCTGAGCCCTACCCCAAGCCTGCCTGGTGGCCCAGGAAGGGGATCCCCGTCATGCCATGTCCTTGATCCTGCACTTTGTGACCCATCCATGCGCCATGCTCTGTCTGAATCGAACCCGGGGTATCTCTAGATCCTGTGCAAGTCCTGCCCTGTTCCACTTAGTCCATAGTCCTTTCACACCATACAAACATGGTTCCAGAAGACATTGAATAAGAAATAACTGAAGGTGGACAACTGCCAGCGCTCAAAGAAGGCGGCCAGGGCGGCTTAGCAGAACCTTCTAAGAATGCTAGATCCAACTGTAGCGTACTTGGTCCACTCTCCAGAAGTGGATCACGATGATGCGCACAAAAGCTTCGAGTACGGTGCGGCCGAGAAGTCAATAATCGTTGCCATGCTGTCGGTGAATGGCCCGGGTAGTGGGAAGCGCATATGCTCCCCCTCTCCGTCGTCCTCGAAAGGCCTCTTGCGACATGTCCCTTCGCGGTCAAGGCTGCTGAACATAATATCGTCACTGCCCTCCGATAGTGGTGTCAGAGCAGATCGGTCCGACGAAAGGGTACAGGATGACTTTGCTGTACGGGAATCACATAGGCTCACCTCAATGTCGGTCGGCGTTCCTGCTAGGGCGCTTGAGGAGACCAGACTCGCAGGAGAAAAGCGAGAGGCGGAGGCATGACGGTAGCTAGACCCTCCAAAATGACCCCCCTGTCGATGGCTACCCATCCAATCCATCGAAGTATGGCTGTGTCCGTAGCTCCCTGATGAAAGTGGACCGGCATGGCCGTCGGTCCCATGCCCAGTTCCACGATCGGGGTCCATGCTGGCCTGGCTGTCTCGCCGTCCATTGTCCTTGTAATGGCCAGGGGATCGGCCACGCACAACCATAGGGTCGGATTCCTTGGTCGCTATCAAGACCCAGTTCTCGTCGTTCTGCCTCCCGATATTCGCAGAAAGCTCAACCACCACCAAAAAGTATTGCTGCTGTGCGCGCCGTTTGCCATTGTTGGCGGTGGCTTTCTGGAACTGAATTCTCTCAAATGTATGGGAAGTTGGGATTGAATTCGTGCCGGGGGTTTCAAACCCTGAAAAGCCACCGATGATACTTGAGTGAAGATGGTTGGGCCCCCCATACACATGTCCAGAGCTTGAGTACGTACCGTTTGTGCCGATGGTATGGTTGGGCGACGGTGCAATTGGGTGACGGCCAGGAACTGATTCTGTTGCCTTATCCCGTTTGGGAGTATGCTGAACAAGACCTCGAGCCTCGCTTTCGCCGTTGCTAGTCATGGCGGTTTTTGCAGTAATTGACACGGCAAATTGTTGGACCAATTCTTCGGAACCATTCCTATTCAGATAGAACGGTCCATCCACGATGCCATTTCGGAAGCCGAAGGAGCATTGTACTGCAAAATAATTTCGGCGGTAGCACGTCCACTTTCTATCGACCTGGAAAAACCCTTTTTGTATTGAGGCTATGATCTCTGGCATCAAACGTTGGTTGCGCAGTGTCAGCACAGGATGAAGAACGGTGGTTTCGTGAAAGGGAGGGCCATCTTGCCGCGTAGTGTTCTGGCTGTCATGGCAATGTGTTGACATGTTTTGCCCTGGGTATGAACCCTCTTGGAGTGGGAAAGCAAACGCTGGACTATTGCGAGCTGGAAAGGGATTTGACTGATACCGCATCCCTCCTGGAAATTGGCCTGGACTTATTTGGGTGTGGAGAGCTGTCGAATATTGTGGTATTCTCTCTCCCATACTCCTGAAAGTTGACCCGATGCCGTTTGCCGAATTGTACGAATGGGGAGGTGACAAAGGAGGACTGTACAACAGAAATTAGGACCTGTCACAAGGCTGACGATGGCCTTTTGGGGGAGACAAGAACTTACACTCTCTGTTGACGTTCCATGAGCGTCATCGAGGACCCAGGCCAGTTTGACGAGAGAACTGAAGAAGGTGCGCTCGAGAAATGGTCCGGCGCGCATGCATTGCTGGGAAACGGCTTGGGGAGCGTCGTATAGGTGTTTCCAGAGGCTGTAGGGTTGCCCCCCGCGC